GAACTCCCGCCCCATATTCGCAGCTGACAAACACAGGGCCTTGAAGATCAGAGACCCAGGACATGCTGACAAGTGCTGTGGGAACACCTGCAATGTCTGATTGGGCCACAGAGACAGATCCCTCACTTACACACCTGTCTCTCTCTCTCTCTCTCTCTCTCTCTCTCTCTCTCTCTCTCTCTCTCTCTCACACACACACACACACACAAACACATGTATCTGATAGGGTTTCTTTGAGTGCTCTTTGAGGCCAGTCTGAGGTGATGAAAATAAGGGTGCATCCATTAAGTGCATGAGGCAGGGCTGAGAGAGGGCATGGATGAAGGATTTAAGTGTTGCCTGTAAAGTGCTTCAGACCACCTGCTAGAAGAACAGACAGAGGCATCTATTTCAGCTCAGACTGACGGAAAAATACATTGGTTCTTCGTGTGCCAGGGAGTATTTCGTGACACGAACTCTCTTACATTAAAGCGGTGACCTAATATCTATGGTGACATTTGCACAAAACAAACAAAATGATGACATGACATTTGGGGAAACATTGACTTTTTATTTGTTGAAGAACCATTCAAATGTTTTACAGAATTAATCAAACTATATATGATGATAGAAATCAGAGCACTTGTGATTTAATTGCACAGTTGTTTATCTTCACGGAGTGAGGCTCATACACTCAACCTCCACTCTCAATTATCTGTTGTTACCAGTCACTCAATAGTTTTAAGATGGGGAAAATCCCACATTGTAAAATGTTGCAAGTACACTCCCCTCTTAAGACAGACCCTGGCTCACCATCACAGAGATACTGAGATCACAGACCGTATCTTCACGCTTCAACATAAAATGTCCTCTCATCCGTTTAGAAACTGTGTATAGATGTGCCTCTTTAGTCATTGTTGTGGAAATGTCTCATTCAGCCGTTAAACAACATTCAGGAAGGTTTAGCCCGTGGTGTCTAAATCTCATATCATTTTCCCCAGAGCGTTTTGCTTGGATTCGTGTCAAAATGCTGGTACTATCTGTCAAAAAAAAAAAAAAAAAAAAAAAAACCTTGTGTGGTTTATATGTATGATGAGTAAAAATAGCATTTGATAAGTGTTTTTCTATTTTTTAACAATGATCTCATTCTTACAGGCCGCAGAAATACATTTTCTCTTTATAGCTTTGCCTGTTGTGTTTAGTAGGCATCATGAATCGCATCATCAGAGATTACTCTAACTTGGGTTTGACCCAAAAGAAAAGGTCAGTTTTTATTTCACTCAGATTCAGTCAGTGTGTAGCTGTTATCTGAGAAGGTCTTGCAAAAAGAACTTTAATGCTGATGAGTGCAGGACAACCCTGGGTCTAGGCTAAACAGCAACATAAAGGGTTAGTTCAGCCAAAAATAAAAATCGTCATAATTTACTCATTACTGTGTCATTACCAAACCTGTGTGATTAATTTTTTATGCAGAACACAAAATAAGGTATTTTGAAGAATGTTAATATAACCAAACTATATCGTTGACCCCTGACTTCTGTTGTATGCACAAAAAACAGACATTCTTGAATATATATATATATAATGTTCCACAGAAGGAAGTGTGTGTGTGTGTGTGTGTGTGTGTGTGTGTGGGGGGGGGGGGCTAGCTTTGGACAGCTTTGGTTTGTTTCCTTTTTCGGTACAACACATTAATTCATAGTTTCAGAATCTATGATTACCATGACAGCTAGAAATGATCTTTAATATTTCCATAATAATCATTTCAGAATTGAGTCATATCAAACAACTAGCTTTTTTTTTATGATAATACTTGATTTAATGGCCTGTAAAATGTACTGTGCAGCATGCCATCTTGGGAAATCGTGCTTGAAACAAATCTAATAAAATCACAGAGTCTCGTGGCGTTCTTCATACATTTGTAATAGTAATTCACTTTCTCGCCCTCCAACATAACATAGCAGTGATAATAAGTACGTTTTACAGTTTCCGTCATATAAAATAGAACAGCTTTGCCATAATTTCAAAGCACCTTCTACTGTTTGGTATAACATAAAAAAAATCTACTTTTAGATGTAAAAATATATATTTATGTTTCCAAATAAATAAATACATACAATAAATATGTGAATCAAGAACTGTATAAATAACATCGTGTGAGATGGCATCTCCCGTTCTCTACTGTCCCAGTTCTGTCATCTCTGAGCATCACGTAACGTAAGCATTGTTCCTTCAAGTCCTTCTTAACCCATATTGAATATTTCCAGAGCAAAGCAGCACCATGTTTAAAACATCCAAAACCCTCAGATTTGGTTTTCATGGTTATGCTACTCGTCAGCAACAAAGACACCAAATGCGGCTTGACTTTCACACTTTGGGAGTCTTTCTGGACTGTTGTCTTCACCATCAGTACTGGCCAGTGCATTTCCAGAGCAGATCACGTTTGGATGCTTTGGCCAAACATTATCATCTCCTCCTCACGTAGAGGAGAAACTGGACATCTCTCTCACCCGATAACAGAGGGTCTCAACTGTGTCCAAGCACCTCTTTGTAAAGTTCTGGGACTTTTTCAGGGTCCACCGGTCTTGGAAGAAAGTGAGTGAACTTTTGATGTCTCCTTGATTTTGTCCCATCGCGTGGCGTGCCGTCTTTGTTGAGAGCCACGAAATACCGTGCTCCTCTCTCCCCGTGCTTGTAGAGATTAGAAGAGTATGTGTTGTACCAGTTCTCCTCAAACTGCTCACGGAAGACACATTCTGCTGAGAGTTTCTCCTTAGAAACAAAAAAACATGTTGGTGAACATGATGAATTCATGCAGTTTCCTCTAAATTCATAATATGGAGAGAAAGAGAGGTGGTCGATAAAACATATATGACATCTACTGGGCTTTAATAAGAACAACACTTGTGAAGGATCATTCTTGGTGGTAAGACAAGATCTGAAAAAGTCAAAACTGGGTAAAAGTCTGCTTACAGAGCCATAAAGTTGTCCCTTGTCGTTCATCCCGAGGTAGAGACCACTGTCCACTCCACGGATGCTTATTAGTCCAACAGCAAGGCTTATGAATTCCAAAATACCTGGAGAAGAATAAATCAATTGTTCAGGAGATGTTCTTTGAAGTCTAAACCCTCATCACATATTGTGAAAAAAAAAGAACTGCAATGCATTATTCATCTCTATATTTCAAAGACTATTATATAGTTATTATAAAGTAAATAAATATATTTATATTACTAAATTAATAATAAAATATTTCCTTTTGCTATGATGTGTTATTTATCAGTGATCTACAAGATTCGTTTTCTGCTATAACACTTTAGGTACTTGATATTGAATAATTGGGTTTTTCAACAGAGACCAGAACGTAAATAGAAAGTTCTATGTTCTATTTAAGTTACTCAATAAACTATAAAAAATGGTGAACCCCAATTTTTAAAAGTGGCCAGTCACAGTGCTTTTGAGTTCCTACTGTGATTCAGTTTCTGTTTAAACAAATCTGACAAGCTGGAAATGAAGAGGGAAATTACCGAAACGACTGTGGTCCTTTCTCGTGCCCTGCACACTGCCATCAGGGAGTATTTCAAGGTGAAATCCAGTCCTGCAGTACAACTGTCTTCTCCGCAGGATCCCTTTCAAGTGCGTTAAATCTGCGGAGGTGCTCCGTGACAGTCTCTCTGCTGGAACTAAATGATCATTCAACAGCCCGAGGTTTTCTCCTAGAGGTGGCAAAAAGAACTGTGATCCGACCTGTCCGAAACCCTCCAGGCTTTGTAAAAACGTCCCGATCTCGCCCATAGCTGCAGTTTACAAACCTCCAATCCAGCAAGAGCGCTCAGGGAAACTTGATCTAGATGAATACGGTAAAGCAATCGTCCAAAGCTATTCGTTACGACGAAAAATATCCATGCGAGCACGTCATTTGTAGTGGATCCATGCTGAGCGCATATGGAATATCACTTGACTCCAGTGGATTATTCAGACATATCCAGCGGGGAAGAAACAGTAACTGCAAATAACTGACTTTCAGAAAAGTCCTTTAATTTCTGCTCTCATGCCTCGTCCACATGGTGGCCGGTGGTGCTTTCTGACATGAATAAATGTGCACCAGGTATTGAGGCAGCAGGTATGTGTTGTTGTGGGAAGTGCTTTGCGCAGTGAGTGGCTGCTGCGCGCGCGGGGCAGGTGCAGAGCTCGGGCTTCTGTGGGCGGGACATCGGGTTGGTCCAGCCTTGAGTTTTTGCACACAATCACAATTGTCTGTGTTTTCGTTTATGCCTGTGTTTGTGAGGGACAGGTTTTGCATATACATTGTGGGCACCTAGGCTACCTCACAAGCACGAGGAAAGCAGCAGTTGTCACGATTATAGGGTTTGTTTTAGGTTAAATATTATGCTATTCAGTTATGACAACATATGTTTTTGCATTGCTTTGCTTTTATTCGTCAAAATAAGTGAAGATTTACAAGATTTAAATAATTTTTAAGTCCGTTTAATTGAAGCAGAAATGACTTAAACATCCAAGTTGATTGTACTTAAAATTTAAGGCAGCAACTTTTTTGTGCGTTGGGATAGTATAATGATGGGAAAGGCCATAAATGTTTTTTTTTAAGCAGGTTAATATGACCTGACATTAATTTGTAATTGTATCATTAATTATTATTATTATTATTTTTAGATAAAATATGGAAAAAAACAAAACAAAAAAACTTTACAGAAGTTGAAGATCTACAACTCTTACAATATTTTAGCTGGAACTGGTTACCTGGTCAAATTTTAAGAATGAAAAAGCGACGATTAAATGAAATAAATAACCATTTTTTATATGGACGTCTTCTCAAAACACTATTTTAAAATATAACATTTTGAGATCTGATCGAGGGCTTTAACTATGAATTCGAACTATGACCCCGACCGAATGGAAAGGATAAATGACTGCAAATACAGCTGCTGATGTGTTTCTACACGATGTGATGTCGCGAGGTCGCATCTCGCGATGAGTGCGCGCAGTCTCCTCTCCTCTCCTCTCCTCTCCCCGCGCCGGTGACGCAGTCATGATGGCCGCCGTACGTCGTGTTCTGGCTCTTCGAAACAAGTTCACCAGTTTAACAAATGGGTTAAACATTTATTTTAACAGCAGACAATCGTTGAGGGAAAGAACAGCTCTGAGATACGTAGGGACAGGGGTGTGTATCACTCTCGGTGGATTCGCTGTTGTTTACTACCAGCACATTTCGACTCCGGATAAGGGACAGGCAGCGAGTCTGCGCGCATTGATTTCTCCGCTCCCAGCAGTGGCTGCAAAAGAGCAGGTAACTTAATTGCTACATCTACATTTTATAAGTGTGTACGTGTGTGGTGTTTACATGGTATATTACTATAGCATCTCTGTTTTTGTTATCCCTAAACACTTAAAATCGGTGGATTTCATGTGTCATCAAAACAGTCGCTCTCCACCAGAGAGGTGCTGAATTCAGTGTCTCAGTTCATTAGTCATGTGATGATGCACTATAATTCTATGAAACTACTTATAACAGAAATATTGGAACTTTATAGATAGGCTATTGGACATATTGGAGATTTTTATGGATGTGTTTTGCATGCTTAGTAGGCTACTGACTTAGGCTCCGAGTCCGAAAGGGTCATTTTACTCGGCATGCAAATTCAACCAACTACATTTTCTCCTGTCGAAATCTTATTTTGCATTTGTCTTTCAGCCAGATTTGTTGTTCATAGAATTAGATCAGTTTTAAATTACTATTATTAAAGTCACTTTTAGACAGAAAAACAACCAATGAAAAACAAACAAAAGTATATAAAAGATATAGTCTACAAAGTGCCATCCACACAAATGCATGACTTTATGAATCTATTACATAAAGATTAGAAGGAAACAAGTTCAAAGTCCTTTGTTATATACATATTTGTACAGATACATATTTTTGCACACATTACACACATAATTGTTTCTTTCCCTAAAAGGAGCTATAATTTAAATATATGAGATTAATCACAATTAGTTAAATTAATTCATTATTTAGTTGCGTGAATCTCTCTGCAGTGTTTCCTTTTGTTTTTGTACCCTTATCTGCTTTGGACATAACCTTGACTTGTGGATTGAGACACAGGAATCCAGGGTTAAGGTAACCGGACACTGCAGCTTGGCAGCCGGGTGGACGTATGATTGGGGTAATAAGTAGCAGGGCACACATTCCCAGGGTGTTTGCACAGTGCCCAGTGAGCCTGGCCGTCAGCCACCGTAGAGTGAGAAGAACACTGTCCTATGAGTTTAGCCTGTGATATATCTGCTTGTGGATGTTGTGTCCATTTTTTTGTACTGGAATAGTAGTGAAATTAAAAAACAGAGAGGAAAGGAAAAAGATAGGTAGCACTTTCCTCAATGTCACGCTTGACTTCTCTTGTATTAATGTGTATTTGTTTGATTATAGGCCAGTGTTTCTGCTGAAGATGAAGAGGTGTTTATGTCAGCCCATGAGCACAGGTTCAGGCTCTTCAGCTCATTGGAGTATGATGGACAGCTTTACATGACACCCCTCGACTTCATTGAGTCTGTCACCATGAGCGAACCAAAGAGTGAGTTACACAAACAGTTAATCTTCCTTAGCAGAATATATGAACTCAACATATTATTGTGTAACTGTAGACTAAGAAACGTCCTCCTATTGATTTAATCTTATTTTAAAGGATTAATTAACCCAAAAGTAAAAACTCTCTCATCATTTGCTCACCATCATGTTGTTCAATGGAGCATTCAAGCTTCAAAAGAAAAGTGACGATGGCTATGAACCACAAATTTGTGAATTAATCATTTACAGATGTCAAACTGACTCATTAAAAAATCAGACTCAAAAGCAAATTGTGAGTTACATATTCTTCAAAATTTCTTCTTTTATTTCTCCCTTTGTGGATTTTTTCTTACAGCATGACTGCATGTGTAAATAATGACAACATTTTGAGTGAACTCTCCACTTTTTTACAGATCTCTGCCTTAGTAAGCTATACCCTTTCCTTCTTAAAAGCAAGCAAGTAACCCTGCAGGCATAAAATCAACACATGTAGCCGTAACACCTGCATGAAGATAGTCATCTCTGCCAGCATCACATTTATGACCTATTTCTGTAACCAAAATCTGAAAGCAGCTAGATAGACAACTTTTAAACGTGTGTGTCAGATACATTGGATCTCTGCTAAACCAAAGACATTAAGTTTTCGTCTCAAATAAACGGGAACGGCACTGAGATCGGTCCAGATGGTAGAGTTGATATGCTCTATAGCTGTATTTTCACGACCCAGCTATACTTGTATGGGGGTTGAGTTTCAACCAGTCATGTTTGCTGCTATCTGAAACTTGGACTTCCTGGAATGTGCAGACAGGAATAAAATGTGAACTCTAATATGGCAGGCAAACATTGCGTCACCATCTTTAATGGCATATGCATGACGGAACGAATAGTGGTATTTATGGCTTTATGCTGTGGCTGTAAAATACACTTTGAGTGCATTATATAAACAAAAGCTGCAGTTCATATTTAAACCATACAGTGGTTTGGATTTTATACCAACACTCTTCTAAATTTGGATTTTTTTCCTTTAAAAGTTATTTTAATTTTAATTTCTATATGCATGAAATTGTGTTGTACAGTCAAATTGCTGAGAAAGGTAAAACAGATTCAACCAGTCAAAACATTTCAGAGTGTCTTCTTCCCTGTAACAGTATCTTTTCAACCTGAACGACGCAGGCCTACTCTACAAAAAGACAGCGACAGATTTTCTGTATTTTGTCAGTGTTGAACTTATTGTTGTACACAGTGTAACCCTTTTGACCCATTTTTTGTCAGCTTTTATTTAGAAATCGTTTTGACAATACCACTTATTCTTATAAATCTCTCTTTTTTTATTTTTTAGAAAAGAGGTTTTGGAGATCCCTCACAAAACAGGTTTTGATCATTTTTTTCTTTTGTTTGATAAATATTTATCTTGAGTTTTAAAAATCTCAATGATCCTGAGTATATGTGCTTTTTTGAAAGGATCTAGACAAGATTCTGTCAGATACGCCACCGGTTTGGAAAGGATCCTCCCGTCTGTTCCGAAACCAGCGTGAAAGAGGTGAGATATGTATATCGATTTGCATTGTATAATGCAGTGTTGTTTGCTTTGTCATTTGATCATTGTTTACACTAGTGAATCCCTCCAGGCAACATGATTTAAAGAGGATCTGCTTTCAAAGTGCCACTTGTGTGGCTAGCATTTTAAATACTGAGCTAATTGTGGGCAAATTATGAATGATGTGCATAAAACCGAAACATCTCTAATTAACAGATATTGTGATTATAGGTACAATTAGGATACAGTTGTTAGAGTGTGCAGATGCTTAGACCACCCACATACATGGTGTTATGAAACAATCCGGATCCTGATACTTGGCCTCATGCGGAAGGAGAGTGCACAGGCTGTAAATGGTCTTATCTCTCAATCAGTCTGACATTATTGTGACTTTGCTCTGGGATAATCACAGATATGAAGGTGACAAATAACACCCAGTGCATAACATGTGGTATGTTGTTTTGAATAGAAAATAATCATACACTCAGCTTAATCCACAAATTATCCAGCTTCATATTGTCCCGAGGTCTTAGTTTTTAGACTTGACGTTTTAGACAATGTTTGCTTATAGAACTTCACATTAACATTAATTTATACTATTACAAGAATTCTAAAAATGACACTCCACTCAACGACGTCGTGCCTAACAACACCCCTTAGCTGTTCTAAATTCACTGTAAAACACCTCATTCATCAAGGATGCATTCAATTGAGCTAAACATCATTCTAAATAGACTAAATACATTTATAATGTTACAAAACATTCAAAAGAATAAATCCTGTTCTTTTGAACTTTCTATTCCATCAAAAGGATCATGAAAAAAGTACAAAATGTAAAGCAGCACTGTTTTAACTGTAGTAATTAATACAAAATCTTTTTTGAGCTGCAAATCAGCATAGACAAGAGTAATGATGCTGAAAATTCAGGTATGCATCAGGAATAAATTACATTTTAAAATATTTTCACACAGAAATAAGGGTTTAGAAAAAGAAGAGTATTCATTTAATTTACGAGACAAATATATTTTAATGTGTGGGGATTTCCCACATGCTAACAATACTTTCCTTGTAGTGTTCTTTCTTACACATAAAACACTAAAACACTCCACACATTGCATGATATTCCCTTGCTTTCCTTGAGTGCCAGTGCCTGGGTTTGGGCTTTTAATCCGGTTGTTAAATGTTAAAGCTGCACTTAGGTAAAAAAAAAAAAAAAGAAGATAGGCTTGATCTGTGAACAAAGCCTTACTTCAGAAAATGAAAAGAGCTGTTTGAACTTTGCAATGTTGAGACTTGTCCTAGTGGCAGCCCTGTATCACTCTGGACAGTATGAATTCTAAGAATGGCGTTGGATTACATCTCCATCACTGACACTCTATATCAATTGTTTCTGTGGAATTCTTTGTGTTCTGACAACTGTTTGAGCTCTTGGGCTGGATTTCTTTCTGCAAGACTGAAGTTGTGTGGCTCTAATGAAACCTGCCTGGGATCCTAAAAGACTAAATGCACAAGCAGCCGCGGACTCAAGCAGTCTGGTGTAGATATACATAGGGCAATCGATTGAAAAAGTGAAATAATAAGTGAAACAAGTTAAATTAAGTTAAATTAAATAAATAATGTTATGAATCATACATATGAATATTGAATTGCTGAGTAAAGCCCCCGAATGAAGATAATCCAAAGACGTTGTAGCAGATATGAAAACCACTAAATAAACTATAGAGCTGCAAGATTCTGGGTAAATTGTGAATCACAATTATTTTGTTTTTTAAAACAGAATAAAATAGAATTTTTAAAATTCTGAACAGACAACTAAAATAACGTAATTTACTAGAGGTTCTGATGAAATGTTAAATTATGCTCAAAATGTTATTAATTATAATTAATCTGAATGTTTGATTCTAAAAAAATCAGGTTGAATGAATTATTTAATGACTCAATTGTTTCATTACTAAAAGAATTAGCGGGGTTTTTTTAATGAATCTCTGGAATGAATCGTGAACGAAGATTTAGGAAGGACATCCACGTCTGGCACGCTGGTGACTGACGAGGCCTAGTCAGGTCCTGCCACAGCGTCTGGAGGTAAAGGTCCAGGATGGGTGCTGAGATGACATGGTTGTTCCTTCTTCTCCTTATGTTCTCTTGACTTACAAGTCTAGGTCATGATTAAATGCATTTGTTAATCATATTATTTTATAATTTTATAATATTTATAAAAAATATAAAGAAAACCAATTAACAGTCCCGTATATATGTACTACCGTTTAAAAAAAGGTTGGTAATTTTTTTTTTAAATCTTTTTATCGTATGGTCACTAAGGTTTCATTTAATTGAATATATAATTGAATATAATTTTAATATATATATTTATTTTAAAATGTAATATTCCTGTGATCCAAAGCTGAATTTTCAGCATCACTACTCCAGTCCTCAGAGTCACATGATATCCCAATTTTCTGCTCATTATAAATAAATTATTAAATGAATATAAATTTTTTTTATATAATTCATTATATTAAATTAACAGGTTAAATTCCCAGACTTAGTTAAATACAAATATAAACTGGTGTTGAATCAGTCAACCAGATACATCAAGGATCAGGGTGGCCTGCGAAAATGTATCTTCTCTACTATGTTTTGCACAGACCTTTCTTTATGCTTTTCCTTAAACATTCCAAAGTCTTTTTCCCACAGCACTCAAAGAAGCCCTTCTGAACTATCTGTGTCCAAGTCACTATCATCTCCTTAAACAAAAGCTTGGGAATGCTTTCAGTGGCAGGAACAATTCTCCTTAAATCTTCCCGACGGAGACCTGACAGTTGCTCTTCCCTTTTTCTCCTCTCACACAACAAAGGACTAACAGACCTCAAAAAGGAAAACAAACCCACATCAGGCATTTGCAATCAGTTACAGATCACTTGAGAATGTTTTACACCTAGGAAAATAAACAGAGGGGAACTCAGGAGCCAGTGGCCTGGTCTAATTTTGTTTGGGTTTGTGTCCAGCCTGGTTACTTTACGTTTTAACGTCTCTATTTGTGCAAAGAGAACACCAAACAAGAGTAAAGAACAGGATCCTCTTAGATCTTATCAATGTGAAAGAAGAAAGGACGTCTAGTTTAAAATGACATTTGATAGTAAAATATATTTTGAAGGCAGGTTCTGAGATGTTGGAACACAAGCTTAAAAGGAAATGTTTATGTACTGTTTTTCAGGTGTCATCGCTTACACAGAGTATCTGTTTCTGCTTTGCATTTTGACAAGTAAGTTTGTCTCCACGCTTGTTTAGCACAAAAAGTATAGGTACACGAGGATGTCCCTCATATTATCTCTTTCTTTTGTTTTCTAGAACCACATGCAGGTTTTAAAATAGCTTTCAACATGTTTGATGCAGATGGCAATGAAATGGTGGATAGGAGAGAATTCATGGTGGTATGCTTGTTTTTGTTGTTGTTTTTTGGTAATTTGCATGTCAGCATGCGTAAAGATAAAGTTCTGCTTTTTTACATTTAGTTAGAGGACATATTCCGCAAGAAAAAGGAAAAGAAAAAAGATCCTGACAGTTCATCCCAACTGGTAAGAAAAACAGTCTTTTTTTCAATTTTACAGTCCTCCATCGCATGAACATTAATTCTGTTCCTACTTGGCACTTGCCATATCATGAATCGATGAGCAGTTTATTTGAAAGTGAAAAATAGTTCACCCAAAAATTTAAATTCTGTACCAAACCCATAGTTCTTTCATATCTGTGTAACACCAATGGAGAAGTTTTGAAGAATGTTCACACTGCTCTCTTCCAACCGTCCTTCCCCCGGATTCACAGACAAGGCTTAAGCCTAGTCCCAGACTAAAATGCACGTTTGAGCTGTTGTAACTGAAAGCAACTTGCACTGACATATCTTAAAGAGTCCTAACTAAAGTCTAATCCTGGCTTAATCTATACCCTGTTTGTGAAACCAGGCCGATGTGTATTAAATTTCAAGATTTCTGATTGATTTGTTTGGGGAAGAGACCGAAATTGCTTGGCAGCCATTGCCATCATTCACTTTTATTGCATTTGCTTTAATTTAATATTTACTAATTAATAATTAATAATGAGTAATGTAGCAATAAAAAAAGGTTATAAATGACCTGCTCTATCTATCGATAATTTGTGGGAGACATTTCTGATTAATTATTCCTGTAATATTTGAACGAATGTTGGAATAGAATTCCATGAATAGCCATAGATTTAATTTACTCTGAGATTTTATTGTTGCCTGTTTTCAATCGCATTTAAAATTGAGAGATGAATGATTCATGCATAATGTTCATTTGAACGAATGTACATGAATATTTTTTCTGCATAGTACAAAACAACAATGAGTCTCTTATCTTGCATGCTGGGGAAATGCTGATTGTTCCAGATTGTGTTTTGAAAACGCTTTGAGATTTCATTGTCTTTCACAATCCTTAGTGAAATATGACAAATGCTGAATGGTGATTTGATTTGATCTTATCCTGTTTTGCACGCTATCATTATCTTGGCTGTGTGAGAGTGTGGAACTGTATGGATATCAAGGATCTGTCAGCAGCAATGTATGTATGCTGTATACTAAAGAATCTTTATGAACATGACTTCGATGTGTGTTCTTTGCATGGCGGTTAATGTGGTTGGTGCTTGACTGAAGTCATGGTCAACAACAACTGTGCATGTCCGTCCTAACCACTAATGTTTATGCAGCTACACCCTATATAGTGCTCAATAAACCAGAAGGGTTACATCCACATTCAGTGTCTTCTTTCAGACAGTCAGGGAGCAATATTATTACACTGAAATGTTTGGATAGGGCGTAACAGAGTGACCCTTACGCATGGCTCACCTCCAGTGAAGAGGGACAATGGGGCTAATGGGGCTCAGTCGAAATGCAGCTCTATTATCTAGAAAGCAGAAAAATCATCCAGAGACTACGGCAGATGATTTATCTTGCTTGTCTACCGTCAGGAGCTTTTTTTTTTTGCCAAGGAATGGTCTCACAGAATCATGTTAATAGGCTCTCACCTAAAGAATGGCAGCTCTCCCTGGACCCCCATGTTTTATTTTTACAGTTACTTGAAGAGTGGTATTTGGGTTTGGGTTACTTCTTGTGATGGCTTGACCATGAAGTTTTGTGCCACTAAAGAGTTTCCACACCAAACAACAAGAGAGATGTGGAGCTTTTAAAGCTCAGTGCAGTCAAAGTTTTAACCACAATAAACTATAGTACTGATTTAAAAAAAAAATACTGACGACAATCCACTGCAATGACATAACTTGTTTAATTCAGAATGCACTATAAAATGACTGAAGCACCAATGTCAAGTTTGAATAATTTTTTTATGCTTTTGAAAGAAGTCTGTTATGCCCACCAAGGCTGCATTTATTTGATGTAAAATACAGTTTTATTTTGAATATCGTGAAAAAATATTACAATTTAATGGAACTGTTTTCTTTTTATATACAGTATATATTTTAATTATTCCATTGATGGCAAATCTGAATATTCAGCATCATAACTCCAGTCTTCAGTTTCACAGACATTATGCTGATTTGCTGCTCAACTATTATCACTTATTATTGTAACTCAATTATTTATAATGGTTCTTATTATTATCACTGTTTATTTTTTTTTTCGTGCTGCTTAACATTTCCTCAACATTGCGTTGCATCACTTCAGATGGTTTTGCATGTGTATCTTTCACTGCATTGTCATAAATTTTGGCGATTATTGTTAAGCCTTTAATATTTTCACCTTTAATATGCAGGTACTTAAAAAAGAGCAGCCTCAGTCTGAACCCAGAAGTTTCTGGGATGTTCTGAGGCATGGTGCAAGAATAGTTCTCTTTTCAGATCTGATGGAGGTACAAGTATCCTCGAGTTCACTTGCTTTCTACTTCAAATCCCATAATTCCCTTGACCATTCCCTGTCCGCCATCCCATGTGAGGTTCATCCCATTGTTTGTTTTGTTGTTGTTTTGTTTATTGCCATTTTGATTCATTAATGTCAGTACACTTCATGTTGTTATAGTTAAATATTAATATATATATATATATATATATATATATATATTATTTTTTTTAAGTTCCTAAGATTTATTTAATTGTAACTGAGCCATAAAAGAATACATAATGTTTGGTTAAAGATATTTTACATTGTTTTTAGTCATTTACAAACTCGGATACTGAGATGTACATCTAGTGTATTATGATAGTACAAGTTTCAAAAATACCACCAGATACACTACAGTATGCCTCTTGTTTTTGTAAAGATACGTACTTTGCTGCAAAAGAACATTGAGGTATATCTGGTATGCAGATTTCTGCATGAGAAACCTGTTGTTTGCGTGGCATGGGATGATGTCGGCTGCTTCATGATGTGTCAGTGTGACGGTTATAAAGCATTTTCTCCACCATACAATATTTAAAAATGAATTGCATATTATTTAGTAGCACAAGTCATCCAGCTTTTATTATTATAATATAATATTTGTTGTAGCTTACTGCAGTGCACAAGTGTCTCACACCGAGCGAAGGCACAGAGTGACATTATAACAACTTTCAACACACTCAAATGTATTTTTAATATGATTGTTTTAACCAAGTAAAACAACACTGCGTTACCCTTCAATTGTAATTGGTCCAATAAAGTTACCTGTATGAGTAATAGAGGCCTCGGCCGACTGTGGCATATAAGCATAATCAAATTTGATGTAAATGAATCATTTGCTTTTAATCCATTTATATGCCAATTAAATGTACATTTTACATTTATTTGTATTTGTGCCTGTGTTTTCTTTTGTTGTTATATTTGTTTATGGATGCACTTCCTCATCACGCTATTTTGGTGTACACTTATTTAAACAAATTTTGCTTTTTTGCTCAGTTTCTTACAGCTGAATAATGTGTTTTCATAATTTGCTTTCACAGGACACAGCAGAAAATGTCACCGACACAACTCTGCTGGTTCATTTCTTTGGAAGAAAGGGCAAAAGTGAACTTAACTTTGATGACTTCTACAGGTGAGAAACGGATTTGATGACCATGATCTTGAAGGCGTCTATTCTTAAGTGAAGATTTAACTCTATCATGATCCTAAATCTATTTTCTGTTATATGTATGAAAAATCCAAAGTCAAAAAACATGGGGCCATGTTATAATGCATGATTACCTTTGTAGGGGAATTAAAATGAATCACTAAGGATGCTGTATTCTTATCAAAGCATGTTGGGATGGTCCAGTCACTTTGTCTAGTGTCCTACTGAGTGAGTGATGGCGTCTCCTCTTAACATTGTGTCTGTGTCACTCACGTTCTGTCGGCAGATTCATGGACAACCTGCAGACAGAAGTCCTTGAGATTGAGTTCCTCAGCTTTTCCAAGGGAATGACCACCATCAGTGAGGAAGACTTTGCTAGTATCCTGCTGCGCTACACTACAGTGGAGAACATTACAGGCTACCTTGAGAATGTGCGTCAAAGCATACCCGATGAAAAGGTAGTACTTGCTCTAGACACACACACACACACACACACCACTCAGGAAAGTCAGGAGCCTTTCCAAACAAGAACCACAATACAGTATTCAGATTGATTTTATGCTAATTTGCATATGCCTCTTTTTTAAAAAAAAAAAATGTTTAGCTGATGTTCCCTTTTAAGTTATGAAAAACTTTATTTCTGAAAGTTCAAAACATCCTCTATTTTGCCCGTTACATTTTTTGGGGGGTTATGTGAATGTTAAGGAAAACGAGGGAACTTTTAATTTGATCATTTTATCAACAACAACAAGTAGTTAGTAATGTTTAAACAGATTGTTAGGTGAACGTCCATCTAAATTGTTCCATGAACAATGTATAAAGGCTGATAGGTCCTTTACATACATAGTCTCATACCGCATGGCACAAGCTGTTTGGCCTCTGCTGATCCTGCAGCCAATGAGCATAGGCGTCATTTACGGGGGGAACGGGTGGGACACTTTTTGCCAGGGTCGATTTTGTCCCCACCACTTTTGAAACATCTCGCGGTACAGCTGTACCAATACAAATAAAACATCTCCAGTTAACAGCATTCGTTTCATTTGTTTGTTAAATAACAGGCGATCTAGCACTTGGAAACGTGCAAGTGCTTCTCTCGGAAACGCGCTTCAATCCGTTGCGGAGATTCGTTCTGGTGAAATCACAAATCAAAATGCACACAAATGTGTCTCTGTTTCTCATGGGTTCTAATCCGCTCTCGTATATTTTTTCCCTCATCAAAAGATATATAACCACTGATAAACATTATATCAATTCAACCACTGATAAACATTTTTGGTTTTGATGAGGGGAGAAAAAAAACTATACGAGAGGCAAAAATGCTACGTCTGGACCATCACTGTACATATTATGCCATATAGAGCGTATATACTCTATATACTCACTATACTCGGACATTGTGCTCATTTTTATTTATGTACATAAAGGAAGCTACAGGACATCGTCTTTCAAAACATGACCTACTCGAAAGAGAAAAAAAGAATGAATGCGTCATTGTACCCAGCACTTTTGAAAATGCCCTTCCGAATACGTCTCTGTCCCCAGCACATTTCAAACCAAACTGACGCCCATACCAATGAGATTGCTTGCTCAACATTCAAATAGTCTGGTTCAGTGTTTGCTGTTAGCTGGTCCTGCAGCACTCTATTAGATTTACTCTGAAACCTTCCACCTCCCCCAGCTCCACCTGCTGAGATCTGCAATATGATTTATGTATGTCTTTTCATGCAGCAGCAGCATTACTTAAATATTCACAGCTGCATGTTTGTGTATCTATTGGCAGTAGCAAGTCCATACATGCTTTTCAGCAGCAGCAACAATAATGAACAGAAGCAGCGTAGCAGATCTAGGCCACCAAGACCATATGAACACTGCCATATTCAATAACATGTAAAAACTATTCCGAGAGCTGTCATGATTGAAATAGCACTTTTGAGCTAATGTTTTGAGAAAGTTATTAAAACCCCAAATAACTTTGAACGGGCATTCTATTAACATTACTGCAAGAATGTTTGTTCACCTTGAACCTTGGTTGAACGTTAACCAAAGTTCTGAGACCGTTCCCTGTTAGCTTGGGAAGTACAGAAACACAATTGGAGGTATTATAATATTTCTACCCTTTTATCATATTTTCATGTATTGAGTCTATTCAAATCATTGCATTGCAAAACAAATACCACCACAGATGTGGAGAGAGGAGGATATTTATAATCTGAACGATGTTAGTGCCATTTTTTTCTTTTGTTTCTTATGTTTCCCTTTTCGCACATTGACCCACACATTATAAGGTTAGAGTCTTTTCAGTTGCTTGAGGAGGCTGTTGGTGGATGGCCATTGATATACAAGTGTTTCTTATTGTTAAGTTAAGAGATATTGCAATACAGCTTAACTTGTAAAACCACCTAAGCGTCACATATTACTCATTAGATCATTTGTAAAACATTTGTTGTTGGTTTCAAGAGCGGCTTCATAAAAAGATGTGGGTCTAGTGCCTGGAAATGGATGAGTGGAAATCAAAAGGACCGCTGTTTGAGTAATCTGCTTGCGGTGAAATATTTTGGACACATCCCCTTTTGTTTTTATGTATGCAAGTATCAGGTTAATCTTCTTTAGAAGAGTCGACAAGCTACCCGACCTCTCCTTTAACAAAACAATCTGAAGGTGTTGACAGCTCCAGTTGTGTATATCGGGTGCGGGAGCTGGAGAGATGTGCGCTGGGATTGTTTGACTTTTCTATTTTCTGTCTTGGCTCTTGGGATCTGTTATCGCTCTCCAAGTTCCCACAAACACTTAAGGTGCCCTCGTTTTTGAGAAAGTGAGGAGTAATGCCTTGCCTTGTTTAGGGAGAGTTATTCTAAGACTATCTTTGAAAAATTCATCATTTATTTGTACTAGCTCGCTGCGCAAGTTCTATCCTATTATAAAGACTTACTGATCTCTTTCTATTGCCCAAAGCATTCTGTTTAAAGGAACTGTTATGATTCCATCTGTAAGTCACTGATTTAACACAGATCTTTTCTTTTAGGGCATCACTTTTGAAGAGTTTAGGTCCTTTTTTCAGTTCCTCAACAACTTAGAGGATTTTGCCATTGCCATGCAAATGTACAACTATGCAAATCGGCCAATTGGACAAGGTAAACATGCTTATTTAATCCAGTTCCTCCTCAAAGTCTGTGGCTAATGATGTTTGGCTCTCGGCTTACAGATGAGTTTGCCCGTGCGGTCTATGTGGCCACTGGCCTGAAGCTGTCAAGACACCTTGTGAACACTGTTTTCAAGATATTTGATGTGGACCATGATGACCATCTAAGCTACAAGGAGTTCATTGGGATAATGAAAGACCGGCTGCATCGTGGCTCTTCTTGGGTAAATATGCTGGGAAACTGTTTCACAAAAAAAGTTGTATTGCATTTTTTTTTTACTTCATTTTATTATGCAAATCAGCTATCAGTCACCTTGCTAGTGACATGATAGATATTCCTGTAAAATAGAAGCACAATTTTAGCTTCAAATTCAGATCAGTCTTTATCACTGTACTGTTGCTATTTGTCTCACTGTTAGTATTACACTTCCATTCAAAAGTTTGGGGTCAAGATTAAAAAAATAAATTAATAATTGTATTTGGGAAGGATGCGTTAAATTAATCGAAAGTGATAGTATATATGTTTGCATTGTTAAAAATATCCATTTGATATAAATGCCAACCTTCTGTTTATGAAATAAACAGTTTGTTTTCAATGTTTCTGCAAGTAGAATGATTTATGAAGGGTCATGTGACACTGAAGACTGGAGTAATGATGCTGGAAATTCAGCTTTGTCAACACACGAATAAATTACATTTTAAAATATAGTTAAAATGAAAAACAGTTATTTTAAACAATATTTCAATATTTCAGTAACAATATTTCACGATTTTACTGTATTTTTATTAAAAGAATGCAGCTTTGGTGGCCATAAGATGATGTTTTTTTTAAAAAAAAAAACATTTAAAAAATCTTACTAACCTCAAACTTTAAATATACAAATCCAATATTGTTGCCTTGTATTTCAACTAAAGAAAAGTTGGTTTTCTTGTTTGTGCAATTTTGCTGACATCTAGTGGCCATGGGGTGCCAATTCACCCACTAACTAGAAAAATACATTTCAGTTTCATTTTTTGTAGATAATGTTGATTTTTTATATATGTTGATGACATAAAACTATTATTTTGATGATAAATATTTTCTCTTCATGTTATCATTGTAACCTCAGGGATATAAAGGTGAAGAGAGATTCACATCCTTTAAAGCCTGTATGAAGAAGGAACTCACTGCTAAATAGGTAAGTTTAATTCTGAATAGAAAAAAATGTTGTAGATAGTATCCAGTATTTTGGGTTTAGCTAGATATTGCCCTGGAGAATTTGGAATGAATGATTCTGAACTACAGGGCTTGCACTGCTCAGCATTCAGCCAAAGCTCCTTTTCTTGCATCAGATTACTCTGTAAAATTAATGTCTGCTATCCAGAGATACAAGATACCAGCCTAGCACAGTGTATTAAGACTTAACTCAGTAATAGAATACAGCCCAACCCACACCATGAAACACCTAGAAACAGGAAACAATTCGACTTACTCTGGGTGTATGAATAGAGTAAATGTAGTTTAAATGAAATAAACAGCTTTTACATTTCTATTCTCTTGTCTTGTTCTATTTAGTTATTTAGTTTGATATATGCTATTCTCCTGTTATGTCTTGGATTTGTGCAGGTGATAGACCCACTGTTTCTCCTCACCCTCACGTCTGAAGTGAAGATATCTCAAGCTGGATTAAAGTTCTCAGTGTCTCAATGCAATTACCTGCCTGACCTGTGTCAAACTCTGTACGAGACAAATACTGCCATAATTAGATTAACACATGCTACCTCTCTGGACTATAGTTACTGCTTTGTTACTTGGGACGCACTTTCTTAACTCTATAAAAGCCGCTAACTAGAAGGGATAACACTTTAAGGAAATAGCCATGACACTTTTTTAAATCAAAAAGTTATTTATTAAAGGTCTTACATTTAAACAGGCCCAGTGCAAAATGCTGTTTTCTGGTGGAATGTACAGTAATTTATTCTATTTATTGATCTGTTTTGTGTAAAGAAATGGGATTTAATGCTTTCTTTTAATGCCTGCTGTATTGGTAATGCATTGTTCTATTTGCTTCTCTAGGAGTTATAAGCCAGATAATCTTTCCTTACAATGAGCACATTGCTAACATAGTTTCTCTGAGCTTGTCCACTGCCCACCACCCAGATCAGCTTACACAGGGTCTGACAGTGCTGAGTACACAGAGCAATAATGAGACCTCAGTTATCTCACAATGCGCTACACATACAGACCCCTCTCTCCACCTCTTTTATGGGCTTCTTACTCTGCCACTCCTTTAAGAAATATCTTGCGAAGAAGATAATACAACAAACAAGCAGAAACTGAATCCACTCGTTTTACTCTAGTGGATATTTCTCACGGTATATATGTTTATTTCCCTTATGAGAGGTTCTCTCGTTTTGCATAAGTTGCTTACGCTACTGGGGTAAAGTCATTTTTTCTCGAGATCCGAAGTCAAAAAATTATCCTTAATTTTGTATTTATTGTTAACGCAGTTCAGCATCTAGCAGACTTGAGACCAGGCTGTCTAGTGTGCTCATTGGTTGCCCTGCAGCAACTGCAGCAGCCTACCACTGAGCCTGGCGTGATGTCACACTGATGATTCATAGCCCGCCAGACTGGGTGTGGCTTAGCGTTTAACAGAGAGGCTCTGAGGCTGCTTCCCTTATTTTTCATCTCTTCAGCGAAGCTCTACGCATCGCTGGATCCTGAGAGAAGCCGCCGCCGTTGAAAAAGCAACAGAGCCCGCAGAGGAAAGCGTCTGAAGAGCTGGTCGTCTTTGCCGCCTTCACCCATCCGTGCGAGGTACGCTATCTTGGTGACGAGTATCCTTTTAAGCTCTATTCAGTGTGTGTTCGCAGCCGCGACACCCCCTTTCTAATAGAGCACAAGACGTTTTTCTAAAAATGTCTTGCACTTCCTGTGGCTTGTGCCGAGCCCCGCTTAGTGCCAGAGACCGCCATGTGATCTCTGCCTGGGCCAGGAACACACAGCCCTCACTCTCTTGTCAGGAGGCTGCGTCCACTGTGAGGAACTTCCAATGTCGACCTTGTGTCACTCCGCCCTTTGTTGGACCACGCAAGAAGCGCCGTTCTCAAAGACCACCGGATCCACAGCGAAACTCTCACCGGAGTCTCTCCCTCAAGCTCCCTAGGTTGCGCTCGTCCAGCCATCTACCTGCCTCCCCCAGGGCCGGACCACTATCAAAGTTCCTCGCCCTGTCATTCCCCTTCAAAAAGGCTAGTGCGGTGATGTATTCGGCAGCCAACGAGCCAGTAATACAACCCGCTCGCCCTCACACATCCGCCATTTTTACGGCGACCTAGAGAAATCTCAAAAAGAGTATAATGCCTGGTTATCCGTCTCATGCCGTTGATGATTTATGTGTAGAAAATGTGCCCACATCTCAGTTCTTGTCTAATGGAAAATTAATGATTAATTGAATTAAATTGCAGCTCCTTTAATTAATTGATCAGCTCTACCGAACGTGGATGTTTTTCCACTAAGAAACGAACATTGTTCTTATGTTTTGATTGAAGGTGCTTTGATGCAATCTATATTGTGAAAAGCGCTATATAACTATACTTGACTAGACATGGCCTTGTCGTGGGCATGGTCCAGCGGAATTTCAATTCATGACATTTGTGTGGCGGCAGGCTGGGCCTCCTTCCCCACATTTGTTAGGTTTTATAACCTGGAATTTCCCGCCCTGTTGGCTAGACTTCTCTCAGTATAAGTGGGATGTACAGTATGTTCTGCCCAGATCTGATCGTGCGCTAGCTCTCCTGGTTGAGCTGCACTATATTAGATTGATATGCTTAATATAGACCGGCAACGCCGCTCTGTACTCTCAATGAGTGCTTGTGTACATGTGCCGGCATGTTGCTGGCTGCCTGATTCCCGCTTATCTGGGTTCCCTGGGATTCCCTAGGACTCATGAAGTGGATGCTTGGTGCGCATGGCATTGACAAAGGGTTCTTTTAGCGTAAGCAACTTAGGCACAATACGAGAGAACCTCTCGTAAGAGAAAGTATCGGTTACCTAACGTAACCTCAGAGTATTGCGTAACTGGCCGTGCTTGCGCCACGAGCGACTTTTGCTTCAGTCGCTGAAAATCAGGGAAGCAGTCTCCGAGCCTCTCTTTTATTTGCTAAGACACACTCAGTCTGGCGGCTGTGACACGTAGAGGGCGCGACGTCACGCCAGGCACAGCGGTAGGTTGCTGCAGTTGCTGCTGTGCAGCAGCTACCAGACCTAGAGAAGGCCGTCTAGTGTCCTCATTGGCTGCCCTGCGGCAACTGCAGCAGCCTACCACTGTGCCTTGCGTGACGTTGCGCCCTATACGCTTCACAGCCGCCAGACTGGGTGTGGCTTAGCGTATAAAAGTGAGGCTCGGAGGCTGCTTCATTTCTCGAGAAACGATGACTTTACCCGTAGCATAAGCAACTTACGCGAGGTGCTGTAGGGGCTGTTGCACCTTTTGATTTATTACCCAGGAAAAAAGAAACAGGTCATTAAGCACACATTGACCTATGGGGCATGTTGTCATGTGCATTTTTTTTTTTTTTAAATAATGGAACCATTTTCTCTAATTGAAACATTATAATATAGCTTGTGACAACTGTGTGACAAGTAGCTCTGGTCTCACCCACCATGCTTTTTATAGAATAGACCATGTTTTAGATCTGTACATTGAATTTTACAGTTTGTGTGTATAGCCTAGTTTTTTTGCATTAGTAACCAGATTGCTTAGAATGTTTGAATACATTAAAACCACAATCAAACTAATACTTTGTGTCATTGCTTCTGTTTTGCGCTTCCTTTAAAAAAAAAAACTCACTAAAAAGTGTTTATAGTGAACATTTTAGATTAGACCTATAGGGTTAATGTTGATGTTTGTTTAGTCAAGCACAATGTAACAATAAAAAAATTTTGGGGTTCCTTAAATGATAATAGCCTATATACAGTACTAACCAGTCAAAGCTTGTTTTAAAGCAGCACTATGCAGTTTTTTTACCTTAACTGAATAGCTTCGGAGTTATTGCAATGGTTTATTACCAGTGTTGTAGTACTCGAGACTCGGACTCGTCTCGGACTCGGTCTCGAGACCATATTTTAATGGTCTTGGTCTTGTCATCGACTCGTGTGCATTTGGACTCGGAATTGAAATTTTTTTTTTGTTAGGACTCGGACTTATTCCCGAGTCCACTCGTGTTCAATTCAAAATATTTTTCATGATTATTAATGTATGTTAATGAAATATTTCTTTAAATTGATTGACACGCCCAGTGATTGGTGATTTTCTAGTGCACAACTGCGCATGACAAATTGTAATAAAATTACTTTTAACACCACCTACTATGTGGCCTTTTTACCCTAAACTGATCATATTTTTTAAACTCTAAGTAAATTCAGTAAAATAAAAAAAGGATTTCTCTAAGTAAATAAAAGTAAATTAGGTAATCAACCCTTACTGGTGGTCTTGGACCCATCTGTGGTCTTGGACTCGACTCTCTATGGACTCGGTCTTGACTCGGACTCGACTCTCTGTGGTCTCGGTCTCGACTCGGACTCGAGTGAGGTGGTCTCGACTACAACACTGTTTATTACTATTTTCGGGTTGAATGTTGGGCATTCAATGCCCCCCCCCCTCCCCCTGTGTTGCCTGTGACCGGAAAAAACACACTTGCAACTTTGAGCCGGTGGGCCGCCGACCGCAGCATCAAGAAGTGTCGCGTGATATCAGGTCTCGCGATGTAACGAATTGATTTACGGCAAGAAAGATCTGCTAAAATGAGCATCAAACAGAAAGAACCCAGCGCCGTATACATGTGGTGTTCGAGGCGCATACAATACAGACTGCATAGATCAACAGGCTGCAGCTCTTAAAGTGCCCACACCTTATTTCCACTCGTTACAGCTTACATCGTACTGAACTGGGACCGGTATACAGGGGGAGGAGATCAGGCCGTGAGTGCCGAGACATCTCTGCGTGAGTGCTATTTACGACAGTACAAGTACTCCACAGCGACTCTAGGGGTCACAGTTTGACAAAAACAGAAATCATGCATAGTGCAATAGTGCATTAGTTAAATGCATGGTCTCTCATGGCTTTAACTGCATGGCCAGGCAGGTTTTCATCTATTTGGCTGGGTTGCAGGCTAATTTTCTTCCTAACTACTGAAAAGTAGACCATAAAAAATAAATAAATAAATAATAATAAAAAAACAGCTTAGACTGATTTAAAATATTTATCAGAAGATAATGGACCTCTTAACTGGTCGGTTTCACAGACAAGGTTTAAGCCTATTCTCAGACTAAAATGGATGTTTGAGCTGTTTTAACTGAAAGCAACTTATAATCACTGATAAATCTTAAAATAGGACAGTGCCACTGTTTTGTCAGATGCACACCATGTTTGTTTTTTCTCTCTCTAAGGAACAGTTATAAAAACTTATTAAATGTCCTAATTGAGCTAAATCTAAGCCCTGTCTGTGAAACCGGGCCAAATATAATGACAGTGTGTGTAACACAATTGTTTAACATTGCTGTGTGACATTCAATAGCTATATAGCAAATAGATTTATAAATACAAATAGGCTATAGCTGATAGATAGAGCAAATCTCAACAGGCTTGCTAATGCTAAATAAAATACAACAGACTTGGTAGAAAGCGGTAGGCTAGCCATGCTTTAGTGTAGTAACCACCGCATCGCGTGAGCATCATGTAAGTTTGTAGAAAGGGGCGGTATATGGAGTAAATATAGGGTCATATATATCTGCAAAATAAAACAATGTTTTGCAAAAAAAAAAATATGTTTTGCAAATAAAAAAATGTTTTGCAAAAAATATATATGTTTTGCAAATAAAAAAAATGTTTTGCAACAAAAAAAAAATATGTTTTGCAAAAAAAAAAAAAATGTTTTGCAAATAAAAGTAGAGTATTGACGAAAAATGCTTTTTTGCAAGTAAAAAAAATAATTGCAAAAGAAAAGTTAACCAATGGGGGAAAAATAAAGTTTAGCAAAGTAAAACTTCAGCAGCATTGACTTTGCAACCTTTGCGCCGCTCCTTTAAATCCGCGTTTCAGTCATCCGTGCCTCTGCGGCGCACGCTTTCCTTTGCGCTTCCTTTTTCTTTGCACCTCGCTTTGTGTCCCTGATTTGACGTGGGGGGCGGGGTCAAGAGGTTGGGGTGTGTACAAGCATAGATATCATATAGAGACTAGATACCCTATTGGCCGCTGGAAAACGAGAAATCCGGCCGCCATCTTGAGCCGGTCGTCTTCCTAGTCTCGTTGCGTGGCAGCAGATAAGATGCCAGAGCACTGTGGAGCATTTTCCTGTTCTAATCGCCGGGCCACCGAAAATAGGGCTTTTCACAAGTAAGTCTTAACATTACCGCACTATTGGTTGTATTTTGTGAATAGAATATTGCCAGATAATCGAGAAGGAGCAAGGATATTTGCTATTACTGTACTGAAATCGTTGTGAAATGCTGTTTACTGCATCAGCCGGTGTTCACTCGGCATGGAGAGGTGGGGTAACTGTTAAAGTAATAATTACAAGAGCTTCTAGGTTGTCAGATAAGCATTTAACTGCCCTGTTGTATAGGTTTGTGTTTGCGCACATCAGAAAGCAACGTAATATAGCCTACACGCATGACAGCGATGCGCAAATTGAGTTACCTCTCCAACTTCTAGTTTTATTGATAACCTATATCTTACCACATGCGATTTGGCTATTGATATTACAGAAGTCCTGTGGTAAAATTACATTAACTTACCCCATCTACCCTTATAAAGTTAATCCGATAGGGCTTTAGTCTCGACATTTTCCCCTCCTACATCCACATACAATAAAAAAGGTATAGGCTTAATGTTGTCCGAATTTAATTTTTAGAAATTAACGTTACTGATGCAAACACGTTGAAAAGCTTCTTCTCAATTTTTATTACAGGTGGCTGCGTTCTGTGTGTGTGTGTGAGAGAGAGAGAGAGAGAGAGAGAGAGAGAGAGAGAGAGAGAGAGAGAGAGAGTGTGTGTGTGTGTGTGTGTGTGTGTCTGTTCGTGTGTGCGTGTGTATGTGCGTGTGTCAATCATAAACTGTTTCTTCAACTTATTAAAATATCTTACTTTACTGCTACTATCTGTTTCTGCTTCTTTATTATATTTATAGTGTGTAAATTATAAAATACATTATATCCTTCATCACATATATTGTGTCTGGTCACTTTATATCTTATATGAGAATATTATATTACTGTTAACCTACAATGGATATTAAAATACGCCGAACCATGTGTCCTGTATCATAGCTACATGTATGACCTTTGCAGCAAAAAACCCCCGTGAAAATCAGTTCAGTATTCAGTGAGATATGATTAATTTAATGCGCTGACAGCTCATTTCACCTGCTATTCAGATTACACTGAGCGGAGCGGATGACCGGTTTAAGATGGCGGCTCCAATTCTCGTCCGTGCTAATAGGCAGTAGCGGTCGATAGGGCGTCTACCTATATGATGTCTATGTTGTACACACCCCAACCTCTTGACCCCGCCCCCACGTCAAACCAGGGACACAAAGCGAGGTGCAAAGAAAAAGGAAGCGTAAAGCAAAGCGTGCGCCGCAGAGGCACGGATGACTGAAACGCGGATTTAAAGGAGCGGCGCAAAGGGAAGTATGTGTTGCAAAGTCAATGCTGCTAAAGTTTTACTTTGCTAAACTTTATTTTTTCCCCCATTGGTCAACTTTTCTTTTGCAATTATTTTTTTTACTTGCAAAAAATAATTTTTTCCTCAATACTCTACTTTTATTTGCACCACATTTTTTTTATTTGCAAAACATATATTTTTTTTTGCAAAACATTTGTTTTTATTTGCAAAACATATATTTTTTTTGCGAAACATTGTTTTATTTTGCAGATATATATGGCCCTACTTTGACTCCATAGCGGTACCGATGTGCTGCAAACAAGAGCGAGTGGAGAACCGGAGGATGTAGATGCAGACGAACCCAACGCATCTGCACAAGGAGGAAGACACGATGCTGTTTTAACAGCAGTGCGGGATCGCTGAGGCTGAACTTGTCGTTTTGACCACTTTTGGTCTTCTAATAGAAAGATGGCGCCGTCGGGCTCGCGCAGCGATGACTGCTGGAGAGTTTTATACTGGATCCCTGTGCTGTTCATCAGTCTGATCGTGGCATGGTCCTACTACGCGTATGTAGTGCAGCTCTGCATAGGTAAGACTGGAAGCAGCTTTCTGAATGAAGTTGGTGTGAATGAATAAATAATACCTAGTTCATCGACCATGTCTGCTTCTGTTACTAGAGCAATAGATCTCTGATATTGATCAGGTCTATTTGCTTATAAACAGATTGACTAAGAGTGGGTCATAATTAGTGTCAAGTTGTTTGAGATTAATTTATTTAACCCCTCTCTTTAAATGCGCATGTATGTGTCTGGAGCCCACAACAGCTCCTTAATATTATAATATTATACTCTGCATCTTAATTATAAAACTGAAAAACAACACATATATTGGTGTCTAATAGGCATGTGAGATGATAAAAAACATGACACACACACACACACACGCATTCATTTTTTCATTTTTTTTTATTAATTACAATCTTAGGACAGTTAACATCACTTAGACATTTTGGATTTAAAGCCCCACACATTTTAATAATAAATAAACAAACAACAATAATCCAGAAAATGCAAACATGTTCCTAGAAAACGTGTATTCAACTATTGTAATGAATGTGTCAAGTATTTGAATGAATTTTCATTTTAATGTATTTTGGAGTAACTTAATACTGTAGATCCACAAATAAAAAATAGCATCATGCCATTGACCCATATGCAATACTGTTTGAAAAAAATGTTGGCATCACTCTATCACTACCCATTACGACCCTCATACAAAACTTGATTTCTCCCCCTTTTTTGTGCTGTATGACCTCTGAGCACTTTAACATCTTCAAGCTTTGTGTATGATGTGTCATTTGTATGTGCGCAACAAGCAAAGGTTTGTGTTCATATCAACATCATTCACTCCTTTGATTACATCTGCTATCATGTTCCCATAAAAACAGGATAAAGGCTTTATTGTTCTCTTGAATGGTGGAGGATCATGAGGATGCCATCTTTCTCTGATGACTAATTGTGTGTGTGTGTGTGTTTGGACTCCTTTAATATCATCAAATGATGTTTAACTATCTGTGCATAAAACAGCTGCTTTGTGGTGCTCCTTAGAGACTTCACTGAGTGAAGTGTCAGTGGCCAGGCCACATTTCTAATGTCTGTTCCCACTGGCAGTTTATACTGGTTTATGCTGAACTGCAGTCTGTGGGTCTCTAGGCACCCCACCCCTTGCTTTGTACTTGAACTGACAGAATATAAACCATGAAGTGCTTTAAAGGCATAGTTAACTAAAAAATGAAAATTCTGTCATTAAAGCTGCAGGGAGTTTTGAGAAAACGTTGACTTAGCCTGAAAAATTGAACAAGCACAACTTACAGGTCCCATCCCCTTGCTCTCTGCTGCCCTACAGCCCTCCCTCCACAGTGGAGCCTGCCGTGAACGCACAGGCTAGTAAGCAGGTCCACCGATGACGGCGGATAAACAGTTATGTCACATTCAGGGACGAAACATCAACAAAATGCTTTACATTGACTAAGGCCTACCCATACTTTGACTACAAACTTGGTCCTCAAATCATTATGTATTTTGCAATACATGCAATGTAACTTTATAACGTTGCACGTACCCTTTCTAGAAGTTATAAATAGCTAGTAAAATAATATAACGGTAACTAACGTGACAGCAAGTAATTATTCTAGCGATATGTAGGCCTTATGCTAGATAAGGTTTGCCAGTGTTGTAACAGGGTTCAGTTGTTATGGGAAGAAGAACCGGCGAGCGTTCAACAAGTTTAATAATATAAATAAACAAATACAAAATGAAAGTATAAGCCAGCAGGCCCTCACAGACGACTGCTGGCACACAAAACAGAACATAAAATCACTACGTAAAATCAGGCCTGTTCCTTTCTCGATCTTTACTGTCGTCGCTCCTACTTTATGTTTCCGCTCCTCCGTGAGAGATACCAGACCGGTGTGTCTCACAGGTGTCGTTCATTTCCACTCACACCACTCTCACGTCCCTCGACCTCATCCTGCTCGCCACAATATTATTTCAACAACATGACCAGCCAGTGAATCAGCAGGTTTCAGTTGTTGCTTTGCACAGTGCATGACATTTTATCTACATGTCACGCGGCTGGAGTTTTGACACAGAGTCAATGGGCTCTGTCTAATTGTTTCTTTTTCGCTTGTTTATCGTCATCGGACTTTTTCATTTTACCCGTCTTTGTTTTATGGGATTTGTCGAAATTGGCAGTTTAGGTTGTTTCTCCACCATTAGGACAGCTGCAGCACACCGGCAATCTTGAGTTTGAATGATGGTACACACTGTGCAAGAGAGGGGCGTGATCAGCGCGTACACGAGATTGACACTGCTAAGACACTCCTCCTGGCTCTGATTGGTTGTTTCTGACCGGGAGCGGTGTATTTCTGCAAATGGCAATAGGACCACTGGGAGGAGCCAGGGGAGCTTGATTTTTTCACAGATTATCTGTCTCATATTCTACTGTCAGGACATAATGAGAATTTTTTTTACAAAAGTTAACTACAGCAGCTTTAATTACTCACCCTCATGTCGTTCCAAACCCATACGAGTTTTGCTCATCTTCGAACACAAATGAAGCTCTTTTTGATTTAGACCTATCTTCCACTTTGGCACTTCAAAAAGTTCAGAAAGAGATCAATCATAAAACGAATTCATATGAATTGAATGGGTTAGTCCACAATTTTCTGAAGAGACACTATCCCTTTATATGATGAACAGATTGAATTTAATTTGAATTTCATCGACTGCTTTTATTCACATGTGACTTTTTGAAGCGTCAAAATTGTTGTTGCATAGCTGTCAATGGAGGGACAGAAAGCTAAAAAATTTCCAACAAAAAATCTTCATTTACGTTCTGAAAATGAACAAAGACTTACGGGTTTGGAACGAAATTAGGGTGAGTTATAAATGACAGAATTCTCATTTTTGACTGAACTATACCTTTAATGTCTGATCTTGAGCATGAATTGAAGGCTATTAAGTTTGTATGGGTTCAATAGGATTATAGCCTGCTAAAAATGCAGCATTGCTGGTCACAAGCATAAGTATGTTTTGCATGCTGGGCCATGCATTGGATGCTGGTTGCTGGTTTGCTTGTTACCTGCATAGGAAGTGAGTGATGGTGGACCAGCTAAACTATACCAGCTCTAATCAGCCTAAGTCAGCCTAGACCAACACTGAATTCATGCTGGTTTATGATGGATTTTTCAGTAGGGCAGTTTGTTCATTGCAACAATGATGCAAATGCCCAAAACCGTAACAGACAGTGTTACTGTAGTTTAAAACTGGTTCTCACTCCCTGGTCCTGGAGAGCCACAGCTACACATATTGTATGTCTCCCTCATTTAATTTGATTCAGATCATCAGCCTGTTAGGAAAGAGCTCTATTACTGTAACTGAGGTGGGTGTGTCAGATAAAAGAGACTTATAAAATGTGCAGTGGCTCCCCAGGACCAAGTTTAGAGAACCACTGGTTTAAAAGATGATCTGTTTACTTGCTAATACTACTACTATGCTATCGTTGCATTTATTTTAGCATGTCAGTAAATCTTTATTTTACCCAACCCATGGTGACAAAGGTTGTTTTAAACATACTGTCTGCTGATCCGTCTCAAAGGTAATCTCACTGCCAAGCCGTCAACTCCTCACCAATCTCTACTTGACCTATTTATGCTGTCAAATCACTTGTGCTGCACGTTTTGAGTAACAGACGCTTAACATTTCTTAAACAACACTGAAGTCATCAGGAGAAAAAAGAGTTTATTTGCTGAAATAATGGTAATAATGTGTCTCGTCATCTGTTGACAGTTTTTATTTGAGAGGGTTGCATGAGAAGGTGTGATGATAATGGCCTTATTACAGTATATACTGTGATTGCTGGATTACTGTGCGTCTATTACTACTGTACTCAAATAATAATAGATGCATTGTATCCTGGGATTTCGTTTGTTTTGTGCTTCAGGGTTTTTTTTTTCTTTTACTTATGTGCCAGATCTTTCAAAGAGCATATTTTGGATAAAGAGTACAGAGTAGTCACATTAGATGAGGCTAATCTAATGAGGCTTTTAGGACACTGCATTTTTAGTAAACTTAAACAACTAGATATTTATTGAAAAGCCTATGCTTAGAATGTGGCAAAACTCAAAAAAATATTTCTTTAAAAACAAAATCCTCCTTCTGTGTCATCTATGTGCATGTGGTCCAATCTTGATTTTGAGACAGTCAAGGGTTTTGAACAACCTGTATGGTCATAGTTAGTACCTCATCACCACAAAATAGAGCACCAGTTGAAGAGATGCAAATGTGTTGATCTAGTGAATTTGGGCACCTGATCAAGAGTCTCTGTACAGCATGAGTTCCAGCAACTGCGATCAGAACCATCTGCTGCTCACTGACCTTCTAAATGCACAAGGAGTTTCAGTCCTACTGTTTATACAATAATATCCAGTGCAGAATTTAAAAAAAACACAGCATTAACAAAATTGTAGAGACATTGTTACTTGTTTCTTTCTCTTTCCTCTACAGAATCTATTGAAAACATGGGAGAGAAAAGTAAGTTAGCTTTTTCCTACAATGTTTTACTTTTTTAAAAATAGGGAATTTCAATGGCAATTTCTTTCCTTTAAAGGAGTAGTTCAAAATCATTTGCTGATAATTTACTCACCCCCTTGTCACCCAAGTTGTCCATGTCTTTCTTTCTTCAGTCGAAAAGAAATTTTCATTTTTTTGATGAAAACATTCCAGGATTTTCTCCATATAATGGACTTCAATGGGAACCAAACGGTTCAAGGTCCAAATGAAAGTTTCAGTGCAGCTTCAAAGGGCTTTAAACGACACCAGGTCTAGGACCCTAGGACCCCTATCTAGGACCCTTTGAGTCATGACTCGAAAAAAGATTTTTTCATTTTGTTGAACGAGTTTGAACAGGAGAGTCACGAACGCTCATCACAGAACAGAGCAAGGCGAGCATTTTTGCTTATAAAACTTACATTTTTTTTTATTTATTTTTTAAATGACAGATTGTTTCACTAGACAAGACCCTTATTCATCGTTTGGTGTCTTTTAAAGCCCTTTGAAAGCCCATTTGGACCTTGAACCGTTTGGTTCCCAATGAAGTCCATAATATGGAGAAAATCCTGGAATGTTTTCATCAAAAACCCCACTGAAGAAAGAAAGACAAGGACATCTTGGATGACGGGGGTGAGTAAATTATCAGCAAAAGATTTTTTGTAAAGTGAACCACTCCTTTAATTGGAGCAAAACAAATCAATATTTATAATATCTAAAACTTTTAATTTATAACTTTTGAATGTTTATAAATGGTTGAATGATATTTAAATGATCCCGTGACACTGAAGACTGGAGTCATGCTAATGTAAGTCCATCGGACATTTTCACCCGTATTATCATTTGACTTGATTGTAAAAACAAAAACACATCTCCTCAACCAACCACATGATTTGAGTTAACATTGCAGAATGAGTTATGCTATCCACCAAAGTGTAACAAGTTTAATAATAACATAGTCATGTGAAATTCCTTTAGGGAGCACCACTAATGATGTAATGATCTTTTATAATCAGTTTTCAATATTTCTTTTTTTTATCACAGTAGTTTATCTCCTGGTTTATCATGTGCTTTTCATAATGTTCGTGTGGTCATACTGGCAAACCATCTTCACAAAACCCATGAACCCCCTCAAAGAGGTGAGTCAATTTGAGTATAGAAATGAATAATATGATTAGCAATAACTATTCATTTCAAAGTAAACACCAATAATGAAGTCATCTGAATGTGGCGTAAACTGTGCCATCTCTAAGTAATTTAAATGTTATTTTGCACTGCATACTCACTATGACTCATGAGGTGTTGGCTTATAATGAATGTTATTTTCCTGTTAGCATTGTAATATTTGTAAATGTTTGGTATAACCGCTCTTAGGATGAATTGTTGGTTACGCTTATTGAAAAAAAACAGCATGTTGTGTTGTAAATGGCATGTGGTCGTTGGTGTAACTAGCACCTCACTGGAAGCTGTTATTATTTCATGCTGAGGGAATGAGAAACCAACTGTAAAAGAGAAACCACATATGGCTCAAACTGGCAATCAGTCGTACTCCCCTCACTTGTCATACAGGAAATATCAAAATGTTTTGCTTTTTTGTCTGTTTCTTTCAGTTCCACCTGTCACATCCCGACAAGGAACTATTAGAGCGTGAAGATCGGAGAGAATCTCAACAGGAAATCTTGAGGAGAATTGCTAAGGATTTGCCCATTTACACACGCACAATGTCAGGAGGTGGGCACTTTTCTTTACGTTCACCACATCCTAATTGTGCCAAAGACATCGCTGTTAGCATGCCAAGTCCGTAACAGTCCATTCAGCCTAGATTTAGGCTCAGTGACAAATAATGGCCGCAGACAATTGTTTCAATTTGTCTTCAGTGAATCCTATCGATCTGTATTTTAACAAGCTGTCTTGATACAGCTGTCCGCTACTGTGATCGCTGTCTGCTGCTGAAGCCTGATCGATGTCATCATTGCTCTGCCTGTGATATGTACGTCTTTCTCCTTTTTTAAAAGACACAACAAATTATAGGTTTTGCTGTGTTGCATTTCAACAACTCCTGCCTCTGCTGTTTTACAGGTGCATTTTAAAGATGGATCACCATTGTCCATGGTATGTACTAGCTCAGTAGATTAAACGCAAAGCATGAATAAAAAGATTTTTGCTCTTGGAAGGAAGACATGCACCAAATATTTCTATAGGTTTCTATTAGACCAACAAAACAATCATTATTTTCCTAGCACACATTATTTGATTTTGCCATTTAAAGCTACACTAGGGTAAATCCATAAGGTGTTTTAATAAACATTTTTGGTGGTATAATTGGACATTTTGGTGAATTGGTGGCTAATTTTAGTGAATTTCTATGCTCTGCCACTGATGGTTAGATTTAGAGATGGTCTAATATATTATAACTGTCGATACCGATAGTTTGGAAAATGCCTAATATCGGCCGATAATATCGGCCTGCCGATAAATCGGTCTGGCTCTATTTGATATGTTTAAATTGGAAATTTGTTCCCACAACTTACTAATGGCCTACATCAGCACATTTTATTAATTCGTTCCCTTGTTTTAAATCGTTTGCACAATATAATAATTAATTACCACGTTTTACTAAATCATGGCCACGTTGTAATAATTCCTTCACTTGTCAAATCAAAACGAGGTAACAATTTAGTTCTACGTGGCCACAATTTAGTAAAACAAGAGAACGAATTCTTAATCCGTGGCCATGATTTATTTATTTTTGTCCAAGTCATGTTCTGGGCTCTGTATATTCTTTCTTTTGCTATTTATTCATTCATTTGCATAAGTGACATGATCACCTGTAACCATGGTCAGGTTCGGTCACACAAACACGTATACAGTGAAATTCATCCCCAGAGAAGAGAGCTGCGGCTCCACAATGTCATTACTAAAACAAAGGATCATTTATAAATAAATAATACATTTTTACTATGCATTAATTTTATGCAACAGCCACTAGAGGGCCAAAAGTTACATAGTAGTTAGTAATGCGATACTGAAAAAATGTTTCATTCAAGTCTAAAATATTATTTAAATGAGCGGAATCAATCTGATTACTTTACATTTCACAAACAAAAGTAGCATCAAGAAGGGTAGAGATGAAATAGCTTTTAAGGTAAAAGCTGCCCATTTTCTCTTGTTGTAGTGTATGTTGTGCAGTATTTTGCAATAAAAATAAATATTAATATCCAACTTTATTGAGGCTAATGGTCGTTTTGTCTTCTTTGACAGGGTGAACAATTGTGTGGGCTTCGCCAACTACAAGTTTTTCATGCTCTTCCTAGCATATTCATTGTTGTATTGCCTCTATGTCACTGCCACAGACTTGCAGTATTTCATCAAGTTCTGGACTGTAAGTATGAATTATTAATTGAATAGGCTTATATTAGGAAACAGATCATTTGAATGTTCAGATAGGCTGTCTTTTTTTAAATAACACACCAACTGGAGTACTACTATCATCTTTTCAATAAAAACAATGTTTTATTTTTATTTTGAAAGGTTGACGGTAAAGCACATCAGCGTCTAATCCAGTATTTGGTAGGACTGAGTCAATCACAGACATTGATAGTTCCTGTAGTTTTAATAGTTTCCCTCAGCATAACACCTCAGTTCCACTTTCTGTTAGATCCAGTAGACAAGGAAATGTAGGCTTGTTCAAAAAATGTTCTAGACTGTCCAAGTTTGTAACTGAGTATTCCAGATATACTATATTCTGTAAAACTGTATATCAACTAGATAATATAGCAGCCAATAGCTTGAATTAGGCCTGATCTGTTTTTTTTGTTTTTGTTTGTTTATTTCAGTCTACGCCTGTTTGTGGTGTTTTCTCCATGTTTTTCACAGAATGGCCTGCCTGATACCCAAGCCAAATTTCACATCATGTTCCTGTTTTTCGCTGCCTCCACGTTCTCAGTGAGCCTAGCGTTTTTGTTTGCTTATCATTGCTGGCTTGTCTGCAAGAACAGATCTACATTGGGTGAGTGGGTTGTGCTGTAATTACCCTTGAATTTCACTAGTAAACACGGGCTCCTCAATAGTGTGTATTTTGCATTCTATGATCATCTGTCTGCACTGCCTGATCAAATACGTTTCATACAACCAGTGACTCTGATCTGGGGCAGGTGGAGTTTAGGTTTTCTGTCGTCTACCCTTTGTGGCAGATCCTCAAGGGAACACGTGCTACATGCCCAGTATTCTGGCAAAAGCAAGCGTCTCAAGATGCATTATGGTTGAAAATGTAAAAAAAAAAAAAATCTCCTTCTTAATCCTGCAAAGCCTACTGTATCATATTTGATACTCAAAGGACAATAAATTATCAATGTGATCAAATCTATGTTGTACACAATCTACTACATGGCTTCTCTTGTCTGATTGATCGTTTATACTTTATTAGAAAGGAAATAGCTTTTTAGTATGATTTTAAAAATTTTGTGGCACAAAAAGTTGTGGCACATCTTTTTACGGTGAAATTTTAACTTATATTCTATCTGATTTTTCAAAACCTTTTAATCTTTTTTTTTTAGATAACTCAAATACTCAAACTCAAATATGACACATCAGACTTTTGAGAAATGTTTATTTGTTCATCTCTCAATTATCATTGCATTGCATTACATGCTTTACCCCCACAATTAAAACACATAGCTTTGATCATAAGACTAAACATTTAAATCTTAGTAAGACATATTTTTGTTATAAATAGAGTTACAAATGATATTTAAAGGCGTTTTATGTTAGTACTGCACTATACTGTTATAACAATCTCAATGATTTACACTAGAAGCAATCAGATATACATAAATATCAGCAATAGCAATAAAGTTTGGGCCTTAATAAAATGTAGGTGTTTTTTTCTTCTTGAGAATGAGCTCTATATTCTCCTATATCATACTCTACAAAAACACACACACAAAGGGTTAAAAAATATTTTTGTCTAAAGTCTCAAGACTAGTCTCCATTGATTATACTAAAATACTGAAAATTGGAAATCATGATTGCTTATGAAGTGTCTGCTTATGATGTAATGTTTCTACTGTCAGAGGCTTTTAGAGCTCCCGCGTTCCAGCATGGCCCAGACAAGAACGGCTTCAGTTTAGGAACAAACAATAACTTTCGCCAAGTGTTTGGAGAAGAAAAGAAATACTGGCTGCTTCCTGTTTTTTCAAGGTATCAGTCATTTTCACTAGCACTGAAAATATTAGTGTCAGTGTTGGCCAATCTCATTCCCTCTGTATCACGTTGTGTTTTCTGCAGTCTGGGTGACGGCTGTTCATTCCCCACATGTCTAGTGAACCGAGACCCCGAACAACCCTCGTTGCCCCCTGGACACAACCCTTCTATCAAAAGGTTCATGCCTCAGATGAATAATTCATTTAGAAACAAATATTGTATAACTATATAAATATAGGCCTATATATAAGAAAAAAATGTTCCACCTTTTGACAGTCAAACAATGAGTCAAGACAGAAATTTGCTGTAGATATTACTTCTGATTCCACCTTCACACTAGGAATTGCATTGTGGGATAGTGCATTGCTGATATGCAGAGTTTTCCATTCATGCCCTTTTCATTCTTCCAGTGCTGGAGAGTCTCATCAGTTTCCACCTAAACCTCTGAGAGAGTCTCAGAGCCGGCTGCTGAATAACGGACAGTCAGAGGGAAATGAAGACCGAGACAAGCGAGGTGAGTTTATGTCATATCTGAGATCAATACAAAACCAAATTGAAAATTAAATTGAGTGTTCAGTTTGTCTTGACCGTAGATATGACTAATAGATATGAGGTAAACCTGGAGCTGTGAATGTGTGAGTGTCGGGAAACAACGTTGTACACTTTTCATGCTGTGTTTCCCTGACAGGTACAAGCAACCCAGCCTTGACTATTGAGAAGGAAACTTAGGAACATTTTTATGAAACAGGTTTGTTACTTTTGTGTGTACAGACTAAAACTTTAAAGTTCTAAAATTATAGTATTGTAACACTACCGTTCAAAAGTTTGGAGTCATTTTTTTTCTTATGCTCACAAAATACAGTAAAAACAGTAAAATTGTGAAATATTATTACAATGTAAATGAACTATTTTTAATATTTTTTAAATATTCTGGTGATGTGATTATTCCAGTGTCACATTATCCTTCAGAAATCACTCTAATATGCTGATTTGTTGTGCTATGTGCTAATATTCTCGTGAAAACTGTGATATGTTTTTTTTCAGGATTATTTGATGAATGGAAAGTTCAAAATAACAGGATGTGTTTTAAATATAAATATTTTTTTAACATCATCAATGTCTTTACTTTTGCATTTAATTCATTAATAGATCCTTCCTGAATAAAAGTATTCATTTCTCTATTAAGCCTTATTTTCCCCAAACCTTTGAATGGTAGTGTACTGTACATACCACATATACTGATATATTAAATTACTGTATATTATATGAGTATTATATTATATTTCTTATATTTATCATTTAGGAGTGTTGTCCTAATGATGTCTGTTGTCAGTGGAACAGTGAAGACGTCTCTGCTGCTCTTGCACAGACTTGCACTGCCTTTCCACTCTCTACCTACTCAATTGTGACCCATCACAAGCGCTAACAGAAGCGGGATAATGGAGTGCACATTCATAAAGGGCCACAGTCTCTTCTCTTCCTTGGAAACTGTATGGCTGAGATATCTTAATGTGCCTAAAGAAACCCACTGATGTGGCTGAACAAGGTAACATCAAAGTGGTTCCTGGACCTACGTTTAAAAAAATAGAAGTTTGTATGGAAAATGCCTTGAATATATATAGCTTGTGTGGTGTAGACATTTCTAAAGAAAGTACGATTTTTTGTTAGTCTGGGATACGTGAAGTATTTATGCATGCTGTGTGATGGTGGTACATAGTCGTTTGTCATGTTTGAAATGTGAAAAGCCCACTACACTACAACAGATTTTTTTAAAACCGTTAAAATGTTGTTCATTATTATACAGATGCATTTTCACATCTGGTCTATGATCTCTTTTCTTTGACAAAGTGTCAGTGAGTATCTTGTCCATCACCCTTAAGTCTGGATCCCAGCTGTCCCGAGTTTTGCAAAGGTTGTACACAAGCAAAAAGACTGATGTAGCAAAACATTTTTGGCCATTTATAGCACTGCATATCCAGACAAAAACACTGTTTATTCAAGCAGAGGGAGGACAAAAATACTCTGTATGCACTTTGAACAGCGCTTGAAGCTGCACATTATTTCAGTTTTTGAATGTTGTTTTCTCGATGGTTCTGTTGAATCAAGTATGCAAGGAAAATGTATTGTGATTACTCTTGTCCATATGCATTGTGATTCTGCAGCTGCAGTGAACATTTCACTGTAAGTCAGTATATTGATTATTTTTAGAATACTTTGCATAACTCTGTTGCACACTCAGATGTGGTTTTGTATCTCATCTGATTTATCCAAGGGCTCTTCTAAAGTACTTACCATATTTCTATCTGAATTTGATTCCATATACTGTATTGCATGCAAATGTACTTGTACTTGATTTTGACTTGAGGTGTGAACGAAACCTCAGAAATGCCAAGAGCTGTGGTGTGTTGTCCGTTTTGTAGTTTTTATGGAAATGTCGTATAGGATTTCTGTTACTTTGATTACTAGGTTCACACACCACATTAAAAATAAACTGTGATACAAGATTTCTACTGGTTCTTGCTTTGTGTATGTAGACAAGCTGATTGCCATTGCTGCTTTTGTTCTTTGAGAGCCTGAAATTGTGCTGGCTCTAGCTTAATGTTTTCATATTCAGACTCCACTTCGTAGGACAACGCCATTGAACGATATGCCTTTATGAATGTTACTGTAAGAGAAATAAAGTGATATTTTATTAAGTGCTACAGTGTTGTTTTGGTATTGTTTCAATTTAGGAATTGTGCAATCAAACCTTACAGCATATGTCTGAACAGACTTCAGTTAGAAAAATCTGGCTTTTATTTCCAAAAGCTCTAAAAACAGTCACTCTATATTGCATAATGTGGACATCAAGATGACAAACAGGAGGAGGGAGGTTAAGAGCTACCAAAATCATTATTCACCAAATCACACATTCAAAAAACAAAAGCTGTGTTCATGCGATTCACATGTCTATAAAAGCTCAGATTAGTTAACACAGCATTTATTCAAATATCTTTCAGTACATACAGCAGATCTAGGCAACACAGAATTGTAAAGCAATACGATACAAAAACAGAATAAAGAGGAAAATCAGGAGAAAACCCCGAACAGCACAAAATGTGCACCATTGAAAAAACCAGCACTACAAGTAAAACTAATTCCACTGATACTGAGTACTTGAGTTGGTTAAGATTCCCTTTAAGAGTCATTATTAATCATATTAAATGAATAAAAGGCTTTGAACTTTTTGATAATAAAATACTACAAAACCTTTACATTTATGTTAAAATGAAAATGGAAAGACATTTTTGATGCATAAGGTGTCCTCAGTTCACTTAAATAGTGGCAGTTACATCATCACTCTTAATTTACTCGTGTGGTAAAATCTGTGCTAACCCAACATAAAGAGTAAAATCAGTGCGAGGCTTCGCTTTACAATTAAGTGCCTGTATTTACCTGTGTCTGAGATCCTCCATCTGTCTAAAGCTATTGCGAAGTGTGAGAAAACAGTACTCCTGTAATCAGGGAACGACAGTTCACGTAGGTGACTGGTGTACTCGCCAAATTAGTCGATGAATAATCTAACCGTACACGAGAAGAAATGAATCCAATAAATTAACGATAAAAAAGAAGAACGTAAAAAGTAGCTTAATATTAAGGCTAAACTGTGGTGGGGGGGAAACTCAAACACCAAATGGTTCCTCTTCTTTAACCATAAAAGATGAACATTGTGTGAAAAGATTTAACCCAGAGAAGGCAACAAAGGGAAGAAGTTTTTTTCTTCTGTTGGATGTGAGCTTTAAAGTGCAAATTCCTATGAAATCTTTCATGGAAACAAAACAACAACAACTAAAAACCCATGTTTTGAGCCCTGTATATGATGTTCGTTATGGTGAGAGATTCTTGTGTCATGACTGCTGCTTGTTTGCCTCCTCCTCGTAGGCATTTCCGGTGCCGTTCTGGACATAGGATGAGCCTGAACCCAGTCCATACAAGTGACCACAATACTTGGCATCATCAATGTGATCCTCAAAAAACATCTGCAATGACAATGATGCTACAGTCAGTACAAATGCTGCATCCAGTGCCACTTTTTGTGATATTTAACAATCGTAGATGAAGGCAGGCACACCTCTCTCATCTTGAAGAAAGCCATTCCTGTGAGGAGCGAGTCAGACCCTGCCTGATGCTGCGGTCCAATTCTCTCCAATTCAAGCTGCTCTGCCACCTCCTGCAGACCACCCTGCACACCACATGATGGAAATCAGACACAGATTCCTTCTATCCACACACACTGCTACCAATGAAAGTAAACCCTGGTGTACTTCTGACAGTGGTGTGATCCAAAATGATCTGTAGAAATCTGTAATGGCTATACATACACAGTCAAGTTTTATTGCTTTACAATAACACTGAACCACGGAAAATTTGATTTGGCTTTATGTATTGAAACCAAAAAACAAAAACAAAAAAAGAACAAAAGTTTTTAGTTGTATTCAATCATTACAATTGTTTAACTATAAGTATGCAAGTATTCAAGTCAGTCTTTAGTAGATAACCTTTGACCGCGATTACAGTCTTAGGTTTGTTAAAACTATTAAAATACCTTTTTAGGCATTAAAATAAACTATTAAAGCGCTACAATCACTAAAACAGATATAAAAATACATTAAATAGAAATAAACAAAAATTATTAAAAAAAAATTAAATACATTTACAAATTAAATAACTGATTCTTGCAGATCACACCGTCTTTTTGCAGATATGTTTTTGAGTCTTCTTTTTGTTGACACACACAAAAGGGGAAAAAAAGAAAAGAAAACAGCAGGATTCAATGCTGTATGCATGAATACTTTGTAGGCGATGTATTTCTAATGACAACATCCTCGTGCTTATCTCCAAACGCTAAAATACCTTCAAGTTCTTACAGCTCTTCATGAGGTATTTCACATCATAAATGATGGGAAAAAATAAACGAAGAACCTCGAAGAAGTCAACCTCTTCCTCTGGCAATTTCGAGTTGGACAAAATTTTAATCAGGTACCCAAAGTCATAGCCACTGTTTGGAAGAGACACAGCAATTAGCTTGAAAATAGAAGCGTATATAGTTCATGACGTTTTAGACAAAGTTTTAGACTTCACACATTTTTACAGAACTTTACATTTTCTTAAGCTTTCAAGAATCTTCCAATATTAACAGAGTTGTGGCTTGAATCTCCACTGAAACACAGCATTAATTTCAGTATGTGAATATTATTTCTGTAAGATTACCTATGGAATGAGAGCCACTTGACCCCCTCACAAAGCACCACACCTGAGGTCATAAGCAGCTCAGCAAAGTACAGTGTCTCAATACCCTCCTCCTCATGCTTCTTAAACTGGATACCTGACGAAGTGAGCAGCTCAATGGAATCCTGTGCATACATGTCTTCCCTGCAAAAGACAGTATGTCCTGCTTTCATAAAGAATCACACTGATGGCTATGGTTACACCTGAAGACAAGAAAAGTCATCTTGTCATATGTCTTCAACATGCACATATAAGAGAGAGATCATGGATTGATGCTTTGTTGCTGAATATGAGTACAATACCTCTTTAATTACAAAGTGCAATGCTTACGTGAGGTTAAATTTGAAGTTGAACTGCCATGTTGACGTTCCTGGTGGGTATTCGCCCTCTTCGTTCATAAATGTAAGGCCAAGCTGGATGATCTTCAACAAGTCAACATTACACCGCAGCAGCTGATACTGGTAATCCGCATTGCTTCTAAATTCTCCGATTGGTCTTGCAACAACACCTGGAAACTCTGTGTCCTACAAATGCAAAAAGAATTATGCATTATGAGTGTTATGGTTACAAAAAAAGGGCCAGAAAATATATGCCATTTGGAATATCGGACTCATTTTTAAAAATAAAAATATATATTTTTCACATCATTATCACTCGTTTTTGTAATTTTAGTACTTCAACTTATCTCAGTTATTTGCAAAAGCTAAATTTATTAATTATCGTACGTTTTTTAAATTAAGCACTACGTTTTTTCCATCTAATATTTATATTTTATTTTGTTGAAACTTTTTTCAATTGCCGAAAATAATTTTAAACTGTCAGAATGGATTTCAAATTAGTTCATTTTTTTTCTTCTTTATGAAGCGATGTGATTAATGTCATTCCCAAAGAGCAGCTTTATAGGAGTTCACTCATGTTGCTCAAATCGTTCATTGTGTATTGTATAATTAATGAATGAACGAGCGAACAAACAATTGGTTTTGGCATTTTACTTTTTTTGTTGTCTGATGCACCTCATGAGTTATAATGTCCAGTTTTTGCCAAATAAAAAAAAAGGTAACCTAAAATGTATAATATCTAAAATAAATTAACTGGTTTTGTTCAAGTCAAAAATATCATTTAATATTGCAGAATCAACCTAAACCAACAAAATAAATTGTATTGGTTTAATCATGTAAAAAAAACTATGATAGCTTGTTTCACCACTTTTCTCTCACGTAGCTTTTTTCTCACAATTCTGACTTTTTGCACACAATTGCGAGATATTAACTTTATATTAACAATTTTTTTCACTTTTTTTTTCTCAGAATAGCGTGATATAAACTCACAATTGCGTATTATAAAGTCTGAAATTTGCAATTCTGATGAAAGAAGTGAAAATCGCTAGATATAAACACACAATTGCAAGAAAAAGTCAGAATTACAAGGTTATATCTCACAATTCTGACTTTATTTTTCGCAACTTTGAGTTAATATCTCACAATTCTGATTAAAAAAAAAAAGTCAGAACTGTGCAATTAAGCGTCGCAATTAACTTTTACATTTTGTATTCCGTGGCAAAATAAGCTTCCAAAAAAACAGCCCTTTAAGTTAACAATTGCAGGTTACCACTTTTTACAGTACATCTTCTCTTTTCAAAATGACATTGACTCTCACACGTCTCTTGCCATTAGGCTGACACTCAAGTCATGACTATGGCAACTGATGTTGACATACCAGATATTAACTGCACTGTCTCAACATATGGATCTGATTTCATAACTTCCAAATTGACAGGGCAGACGGTCAATCTTAGATCACATTTGAAAAACGAAACTGGATTGATTTAAATCAAACATTAATGTTTTAAACTCACCATTGCGACATAGCTGAATTTTCGAGTCACCTGTCGGATCATCTTCATCTCCTCATCCAGGTTGCTGGCCCAAACTTCACATATTCTTTGGCTATGATCCACAGTGGCTGCGGGCATAGTTCCACTCTCAGGTTCACGGCATCAAAACCAAAAAAACACTCCCCAGGGGATATACTCATGAAATAATAGTCGCTTGTTGCCTCTTTTTACCTGAGAAAAAAAAATCATCACAATCAGACAATCAGGACATTTTATATCAAATCACTTTATTGTCACTACATCATAAACAAGAAGGTAATAGATAATGTATAAAATAAACAATATGCAAATACGCACACATAGTATAAACATAGACAGGGAAAGTAAGACATTTAAAAATGTGCTACTGAAAACAAATGCACAAAAAACTTAGCTCAAATTCCAGAGAAAATTGGTAGAAAATATGAAAATATTTCAAACAGCATATATATATATATATATATATATATATATATGCTGTTTGAAATATTTCTATCATTCTACCATATATATATATATATATATATATAATTAAAATCCTGTCCATGACCTAATTGTTCCCTTTACCCAATTGTTTTTTCTGAAATTGTCAACAACTACAGGTTTGTATACATTTTCAAGCTTATATCCATTGTATGCACTGTTGATTATGTCATAACCTGGCTGATTCACTTTGGTAAATCATTAGTCATGTGTTTACGGACTTCAAACTATATGTTAGATGAGCGTATCCTCCTTATCCCCAACACCATTTTTTGGGACTATAAACAGAGAGAGACTTTCACATGCTTTACTTTAGACTTTACTTTGTAAATATGACTAACGTTACTCATCTACTATTCTTGCTTCATGACAACACTGAACGGATAATGATTCAGACATACTCAAATCAGTCACAAAAAGCCTGTTGTAATGTGCCCTAAACATTACAAATGGCAGATGAGTCAAAACGGTCGCAGGCTAACAGGAGCAGCATTCACAATATGCCAACCAAACCAGTAGGAAGATGGGTCGTGTGCCAGATAATGCTTTTGAACATACATGCACATTAAAGTGCCTTTATTAGCTATCATCTGTTGCTTTATATGTCCTTAAGCTATCAAGTCAGTTGTTGTAAGTTGACAGGTTAGCAGCACCAGCTAACACACCATCTGCTAAGCAACTAAACAACCCCGCAAACGTCCTGAAATAATGTCTACAGTCTTTTGGAGGTTTGTGTAAATAATATTTCTTTGTAAGATGTGAATGATGCTGTTTGGTGTCGGGCTGAGTGTTTTTTTTGAATATTTGTGTATATTATAGCATGTTAGCTATTAGCCTAGCCACAAAAGTTTGTCCTGATAATATGATCAAAGTTCACTTTTTCTGTCAGGACTTACCTTTCCTCAAACAAGGTAGTAACACTTAAAGCGTATACTGCTTCAGTAATACACAATCACCTTGTTTAGAAAGGACTGGGACCTTGGTCTATACTTTTATATAGTTTTATTGGGCTAACCGATATCAACAACCAGCTGCCACCTCTGAAACTACACCACACAGCGCTTCGGCGTGACGTCAGGACAAGACGACGCGCGACCTTTGAACTCCATATGGGGTTTTACGTTTGTGTATATTTACATTTCTATTAACCTAACATTTTTCAAGATACAAAACTTTTAAAGTTTGAATTCTTTTAAATAAATATATATATTTTTTGTAAGGTGGTTGATTATGATTTCACTTTAGATTTCTCTCAACTTTATTTGTGTAATGTTGCTGTTTGAGCATAAACAGCATCTGCAAAGTTATTACGCTCAAAGTTCAAAGAAAAGGGAGATAATATTACAAAAAGAAATGGCTTTTGAAGGACTACAACAAACAGTTAGTGATATCCCTAACCCTGGCAGGATATCACTAACCCTGATATCACTAACCCGAAAATTTACATACCCCAACCCCCCCCCCCCATATCCCCCCCCACTGGTGTGTATGAATGGTAGATTATCAAGCCAGAATATGCTAATTAATGACAGAATGACATTAATTAGTATATTGAGAATGACATTAATTAGCATATTCTTTCCTTTGTCTGACTCTTTCCCTTTTCTGATTCCAGTTTGAACATAAAAGTCTCTTCCAAATATCTTCTTATCACTCATTCAGGTTAATGAGAAAATGTTAATTTTGGGTAAACTATGGTTTTAGTTATTTTCAGAATTTCATGTTTTGTAGTAGGCTATTTCTCTCAGAATATTTTAGAATGAATTATGTTTGTAAATGTTGTGATCTGTCTTGCAATAAAAAAACAACAACTCTAAGGGATAAACACATTGGTTTCACTTAAGTAAAATAATATTCATTTAGTGGATGTATATGTGTGTGTGTGTGTGTATAAATAAATCACAATCAACCATTGTTTAGAGACCAAAAAAAGAGCAAACTTTTTATATGGGTCTAAACTGACCAAAATATGAATTGTCTCCATTCTTTAAAATTATTTGCAATAACATAAATTTTCTTAAATTACCAAAAGCACAATGTAATAAATATCACATCATGTAATAAATTTCACATCATGTAACAAGTATTTATATATATATATATATATATATATATATATATATATATATAAATCTGCATTTAATACAACCTATCTTATTTGGTATGGTTTATTTTGAATCTTTGAAATTGTTTTCAAACATTTGCCAGGCCTAAGCACAAAGATATTGTCATATTAATTTCACAACAAACTGAAGTTTAACGTATGTATTCACATTATTCAAGTGCATAAAGTGCAAAAAAATTAAATGAGAATTTATTGTTCATGTATTTAATCTTTTGAAAGATTTCATGCGAATGTGAAATTATAAATATATTCTAGAATAAAATATCACTCTTTACATAGTACACCCATAATACACTTTGAGACAGAAAGACATGCTTCTGTAGTGCCATACACATGAGACATGTCCACAATGTCCAAGATCTTTGCATAATTTGAAATGCCCACACTCTTATCTTGATCACATACTTAGATGCTATAGCTTTCTCATTTCGCAAACTGTTGCATTTGTTCATGCTCTGTTGGGGCCAGTCTCATCTGAGTCAGGATCCTTCACACTGTCCTCACTTGGCAAGGACTCTTCACCAGAAGAATGGGAGCTGAAATCCGCCACTCCTGACTCCTGGTCACTATTGTCAGCATCAGAGCATTTTGGTTTGTCTCCAAACAGGTTCAGCTCTGCATTCTCTCTCTCTCCTTGTTGTAAGGTGAAAACATTGGGAGCAGCACCTATAAAGCCATCAATGTAATCCTGAGGAGTATTGACCATGCCTGCATCTAAAGGTAAAGACCAAAGCGTCTCTTGTTTGTCGTCCAACAGACCCTTCTGCATGTAAAGTGTTTTTGCACGCTCCTTACCCAGAACAGCCAGTTTCTGCAAAGGTAAAATATTTGATCACTAAAGTTAAAATGGCAAACATTGTGTGAATAAAAATTCTGCACCAAGACAACATGGTCTTTGCACAATTTTATTGTAATTCATAAGATGATAAAAAACTAATATGGCAAATTTCTGATGTTGTACCTGCTCATAGACAGCCAGTTCTTCCTCAAGTTGCTGTGTTTCCTCTTTTATAGTCATCAAACAATCCAGCTCAGACTGACGTGGGTGCAACTCACGATCAAACCGATTATACAGTCTTCTCCAGTATCTAAACAGTTTTTGGTTAAACAAAAAAATAGCATATATGATTTAATTTCTTCGTTAAATTTTAAAAATGTTTTAAAATGCTTAGGACTAAAAAAAAATGAAAAAAACTGCATGAGAAAGAATCAAGAAAGGGAACAATTGTCAGGTCAAAATAGGGGGAAAAAACTGTTTACATATTCTCACATACTTAAAACAGAAGGGGGCAGTACTGGGCCTTAGAAGTCCCTGATCGGGTTTATACAGAGGGTTCATGAAGTCCAGTTTGTTCTCCCACAAATGAGGCCATATGGAATGGGTTTTCTCTTTGATGCTACAGGAAAAAAAAAAACATGCAGAAAATTTTGACATCTACTATACCCCAAATTTTAACAAAAAAAAATCAAGTTTTTCATTCATGTCTCAAATACACAGGGCAATTACCACAGATCTTTCCTCTCCTTCTGGCTGTTACAAATAAAGTTGCCATAGTGACAGGAGTAAATGTGGTTGTGGATGCTGATTAGAAACTTCTCATTGTACTCAAAAGAACAGGGAAACTGATCCATGAACTGCCGTACACATTCCAGGAACTGGTCTATAACAGGTGACACTTCCTTGGCTTCTCCATCTAGATGACCACATCTGAAACGCCATGAAGTAAATTACATTTAGAATGATCAATCGCATCTAGTACATCAGAAAACCTGAGTGAATTTTAAGATGAAGTCCAACCTGTGTGAAAACTTGTGTCCAAATGAAACCCAGTCTTTCTCAATCAGCACCTACACATAAAAAAACAGGGTTTTACTTACACTATTGTTAAAACAATTGGACTCAGTCAGACTTTGTTTTAAAGAAATGAATACTTATATTAAGCAAGGAAACATTAAATTGATCAAAAGTGGCCATAAACTCATAACCCATTTTAAATAAACACTGTTCTTTTATATTAACCAGAATATTGAGCTATATTAGGTTTCCACAAAAACAGTTTTTGTAGGTTACATTTTTAATATATATTAAAATAGAAAACAATTATTTTAATTTGCAATATTTCAATATTTTACATGTATTTCAATAATTGATGCAGTCCTGGTGAGCATAAGATACTTCTTTCAAAAACACTAAGGCATTTTGTAGTAGTAGTGCACTTGAGAACAGTTTAAAGGTAAAATGTCAATTTCCGATGTTAAAATTCTTTATATCCCAGTTCCATAAGCAGAGAACTAGAAGTAATTTATAAACTGACTTCTTCAAAAAGTGCCTACACTGTAGCACTAGCAGAACATCGATCTATTTGTTTAGCTGATCAATAAAAGGCAGAGGAACAGCACGTGAAACCTGTTTGAAAATTTTTGCAATTCCGTTTGATGGTACTTGTGCATCTGCACAGACTTGCTGCTAGTGTATCAGGAAATGAGAAGGTATTCCCAGACAGACTTAATCTGTGCTAGAAATTCTGTTTTTCTTTAATATTGACCCCATATGAAGGTAAATTTCTAAGTAAGAGATGATTCTCTAAACTCAACTGAGCTCTGCTATTGAATGAAACCTCTCCAGCAGAGATCCAGCTTGAGTCGATCCTTGTGATTAAATGGGCAAGACTCATGGGCAGCTTCTTACGGTTACGCATCTTCTTACACTGTGAACTCAGTGACTTGAATGAAAAATGTGCCATTTACCATGAGTCCCTTGAGGGTCCTGTAGTAGGGGTCCAGAAGCACACTGGCCACAGAGCAAACCTGAGCCGTCCTATCCCAGCCATCAGAGCAATGAACCAGGACACTGACCCCTTCCTCTGCCACGGCCTGTGTGCGTGTCACGCAAGAACATTAAATCAGTACCGGAGCAAGAGATCATGCATGGGCTGACTCTCAAAAACATCTTTTACTTTAGATATGAAGATTCCAGCTTCCATGATCGATTTGATATGTCTTAACCAGTCTGAATTTTCAAGCCCCAAGAGAAATTCTCTCATGGTGGGAGAACGCAGTGCTGAAACTAAAAAAAGAAAAGAAAAAAAAGACACTTTGAGAAGATCCAGACAAGTTTATATACGATCCTGTGAAAAGACGATGATGAAAACCAGGAGCTTTATTGAGAATTTACAGTAGGGAAATTATGAGGAATTTTAAAGTGCTCAATATTTACTTTGGATTTGCAAAGAAAGCTAGTGACTAACAAAAGTGTCCTCTGTGAGTGTCCTCTTTATTTTTGTTACTTGAAATATGCACTGCTAATAAATTGACTTGACAGTTCTGTCTTATGGCTCATTAGTTATTATGACAACCAAATAAATGTGTATTTCTATAAGTGGCATTGATTCTTTTTCTCCAAACATAAACATTCCCTGTGAGCACTGTAAGCTTTGATGTCAACAGTTCAAATGTGATAAGAGTATTTAAGGGCTGGTGACGTCCCATGAGAACACTCCAGATGACAGCTGCTGAAGCCAATATACTGACAAACCCACTCACTCTTGGTGGCAGAGACCAAATTGACTCTATATCTAGCAAGAATCAAGCATGCTGTAATGAGATCTCAAACAGTCTCTACTGGAAGCCTACAAGATTATTCGACCAGATGACTCCCTAATGCTTTACGGGTCAAAAAGCTATCACACGCAGTGCCGCTATTATTTCTTCAACACTAGAAGATATCATTCTCACGCCCTCTTTTTCTCAATCAGGGGAAAAAGTTCCCCAATCGTCAAGTCAACAAAACTAAAATAGGCGAGGAATAAAAGCCAGATGGATTCAAAGCACCCCTACTACACTATCTGCTTTGCCAAGAAACTCTCCTCCTGTGGTACAATCTACAGCTTCACTGCAGAACATCTTTATTATAGATGATAAAACGCTAAGTGGTCTTCAAGATCTG